AATCCCAGCTACTCGGGAGGCTGAGACAGGAGAATCTCAACCTGGGAGGCAGAGGTTGCAGTGAGCCAAGATCACACCACCACCCTCCAGCCTGGACAACAGAGTGTGCTCCATCTTAAAAAAAAAACAAAACAAAACAGTAAATGTGAAATCTTCCAAACAACTAGAGCCCTTTCCTCTGTTCAGCTCTGACAACTCTGGAGGTAGAGAAGGAGCAAGCCCTAAAGGAAATGCTGTGGAATCATGGAGTCTTGTCTCAAAACCCCCTAACACACAGTGCCATGAATTTGAATGAGTCGTTTATCCTCTCTGTGCTCAGTTTCCTCATCTGCAAAATGATGAGACTGGACCAGATGATTTCTAAAGTCCTTTTCGGGTCTACATTTCTTTAAATCTACAAAAATACTGACAAGACTGAAAAAAAATATCTGTTGTGACTTATTCCAACTTGCCATCCCTTGGATAACTCTGTGATTACTAAACTATTTTGTGCCTTTCTTTTTTTTAATGCATGAAATCTGGCTTCTAACAGTACAATTTAACCCTTGCTCAAAGCTTTGCAAATGCTCCCTTTTTATCCTCAAAATATGTGGTGAGCTATGTGGAAAAGAATTAAAATGCTTTTTATATTTCCTTTGTGTCTTGCTGCACTGACTCCCAGACTCTGGAGTTAGAAGTGGTTTTGGAGACGATCTCATCCATTTTCCCACCCAGGGGAAGAATCCTTCCTATGGCATCCCTGACAATCACTCTATCTAGGCTGGAATATTTCTGTGACAGAGTGCACTGTTTTTCTAGGCAACCCACTTCACACTCAGCTGTTAATTTACATATGGTTGGTGCTTGATAAATATTTCTTAGAAAAACAAATGATATTCAGCAAAATTTCCCCCACTGATCCTTGCTGTCCTCTGCAGAGTACAAATGAACAAATCTGTCTCTTTCCTACATGTTCTTGCATGTTCCAAACCTGAGTAGAAAAACGCCTGCTTCCCTCCCCTGCACCTCCTCATCTCCAGGCATTCTGTGAAGTTTTTTCAAACCTGTCTTCATATGATGGCACATCCAGGCCTGACAGAGACAGCCTGCCTTGTGGTTGCTCTTATTTTCTAGTTTTCTATGATCTCAAAGTGGCTACAGTCTCCAGAGCCTGGATTATGTTCTAATCACTGCTAAGTCAGGCAGCAAGACCATATCCTCTGATGCGGTCATCGCATTTCTATTACTGCAGCCTCCACCAGCATCTGCTCTTTGGGGAGCTATCACAACACACTCACAATGGGCTTGGAGTCAACTAAAACCACTAGTTCCCAGTGCTGGGTCCTCCACATGCTTGAGAAGTATGGATTCTAGCCGAGTTCTAAACAATATGTGGAGCTGGAGAAGGCAAAGTCAGGGAAGAGTGGCTGGCATACTGCTAGAGATTCCCTTCCGGTTTATCTCTGGGTTCTCCATAAGAACCAAAACAAACGAGAAACCATAGATGTAAGCAATAGAAGCAATCAGCCAGAGCCCATGCTTGAAGAATTTCTTAGAACTACGAGGTTTTACATACCAACCACGTGTAGGTGATTCAATCGCTCAAGCAAGACAAAAGGTATTTCCATTTGTTGTTTCCGCTGTTTGAACTTTTCCCCTAAATGGCCTCCTGCTTTTGCCAAGTCTCCACTTAAGCCTAGACAGTGAAGCCTGGACAGTGAAGCTTGAATTAATATTGGTGGCCCGGTGTGGTTGCTCACACCTGTAATTCCAGCACTTTGGGAGGTCGAGGTGGGTGGTTCACCTAAGGTTGGGAGTTCAAGACCAGCCTGACCAAAATGGAGAAACCCCATCTCTACTGAAGATACAAAAAAATTAGCCAGGCATGGTGGTGCATGCCTGTAATCCCAGCTGCTTAGGAGAGTGAGACAGGAGAATAGCTTGAACCCAGGAGGTGGAGAATGTAGTGAGCTGAGATTGCACCATTGCACTCCAGCCTGGGCAAAGAGCAAAACTCTGTCTCAAAAAAACAAACAAACAAAATATTGGTGATACTGTCAGTTGCTTAAGACATGTCAGAGGGGTCACAATTTTCCTAAGCTCTGAGGAGCTGCTGAACATTTCAAATGCAGCAAATGTCACAAAATAGCCTTCAGAACCCCTCAAATTGTGCATCGTTCATCTGTTTTTAAAGGAGAGATTTGCTAATACTGGGAATCTCCTGTGAGCGGCAGCTCTGGGTGTATGATCTCCACACACCTTAGCGTGCTTTTGTGACCGGCGCTGGGCTCTGGTTGAGCAGAGGTGCCCAGGCATATGGGCTGGGTGGGAACATGGTTAATGCCTGCCAGAGCCTCAATGCGAGGCGTGTGGTCATGGACAGACTTAGGACTACCAAGTGGACACGCAGTAAATAAGAGAAAGAAAGGGAGGAAGAAAGTCTGGCGTCCCAGTGAGGGCTGGAAGGACAGTTCCAGGGTAGGTGTGATGAGTTTCTCAGAAGCCCTCACTCCCTGTCCTGCACTCAGCTGGAGTCGGCGATGCATCGGCATCTTAACAGAAAAGTATACTGATGTTGGATTCCGAGGATGCAGCTGTATTTTCCAAGTCTGCGCACCACACCCCGGGCTCTCTCTGACCCACACTCCCCAGTCTACTCTTGCATTCCGCGCGCTTTTCATTCTTCCCCACGACCCCGTCTCCCAGCTTTGTCACCTAGAAGAGCGTAGCGGACCCTAGCTGGCTCGTAGTCTTGCCGGAATGCTCGCGAACTAAGAGCCTCCGCGGTCCTTTTATTCTGGTGCGGGTAGATGGCGAGTGGAGCTGCCCGAGGCCGGCGCTAACCGCCAACCGCTGCGGGAGGCTGGGAGCGCGAGGCAGAGCACGCGACATGGCCACGGCCCCTCCCGTCGCTATAGAAACGGCATCCGCCCTTTTGTGACTCCGGAGCTGAAAGGGCTTCCTCAGGATATGGTCCAGTCCCAAACCACCTTGCAGAGCAGCAGCCAAAAGAACATATTTCTCATCCTCCTACTCGCATTCTCTTGCCCCAGTTCTTTAAAATACAGGGCAAGAATTGAACAAAATCCCAGCAAAAAGAGCTTAATATTGGTTGCCCAGACCAGACACTTGAAATCATCCCTACTCTTCCCTTCTTCAAACAAAGCATGTGGTTATCAGAATTGCATCAAAAGTTCTGGCCCTGCGCGGTGGTTTTACACCTGCAATCCCAGCGCTTCGGCAGTTCCAGGCAGGAGATCACTTGAGGTCTGGAGTTCAAGAATAGCCTGGCCAATGTAGTGAGACCGCCCCCCGCCCCACCACCCTCGTCTCTATCTAGAAGTTTTTTTTGAGAAAAAAAAAAAAAAAATGCGTCGCAAAAGTTCCAGGTTAAATCCATTAATCAGCTGAACACTTTTTGAGTGCTTACTCTGCACCAGGTTGTAGGAAGACATGAAAGGGAAATTTATAATTGAATGACAGTAGGTTGACCTGGAGAGGAGCACACAGTGTGGTCCAGGCAGAAAAGACATTCTGAAAGAGCTGAGTTGAATTTGACTCTTCACGGACGGGTAGCAGTTAGCTACATAAAGGAAGCAAGTCCTAGTCTGAAGGCCAGAGCCATGGAAAAGCATGGCACCATTGTGGCAGCACCCAGTTTAGTGGGGCAGGGATCAAAGGTGTACATGGGCCGACAAGGGTGAAACAGCAGGAAGGGGCCAGCCAGACACGAAGTAGCTTGTGAACTAGACCAGGGTAAGATTTGTGTGTGTGGACTGTAGATGGGTGTTCACGCTGACTTTATTTTACAAAACCCTCTATGGCAGTAACAATGGAAGGCAGGCCCGAGTAGGTTAGGAATCAAGGCAAGGAGCCCTGTTAGAAACAGTGAGTATTGGTGTTTCAGAGTAAGGGAGCACACATGGAAGGCTAGCTTTCAGAAATTTAGGAAATGGAGTAAGATTTGGTGACTGGATGTGAAGGTGGAGAGAATTTTCAATCCCAGGATTACCTTTGGCACCTGCAGTGATCGCAGGGCCATTCGTTTACCAACAGAAAACACGGTAGGGATGATGTCAGGGGTAGGAGAGGTTGAATTTTTGGGGGGGGAGGGGATGAAGTCTCACTGTGTCACCCAGGCTGGAGTACAGTGGTGTGATCCCAGCTAACTGCAATTTCTGCCTCCCAGCATCAAGCGATTCTCCTGCCTCAGCTTCCTGAGTAGCTGAGACTATAGGTGCCCGCCACCAAGCCCGGCCAATTTTTTTGTATTTTGAGTAGAGGCGAGGTTTCACTGTGTTAGCCAGGATGGTCTTATCTCCTGACCTCGTGATCTGCCTGAATTCAATGACTGATCCAGTACATCAAATCATCAGTGGACCATCCACAGGTTTTGTGTCAAGAGCAAGGTGTAGGGTAAAGATCCTGACGTAGCAGTCACTGTTGCATAAGTGACCACTGGAGTTTTCATAGAACGTGAAACTGGTAAGAAGTAGCTACAGGTGACAGAAGATTAGAAAGCTTCAAAATAATGAAGAGTAGGCATGGAGATGGGAAGAAATTGACAAAGAAATGTCTCATGTGAGCCAAGGAAATGAAATGCTTTCATCAGAGTATAATTAATGCACAGGGTGTGTAAGATGGGGTTTGGCAACTTGAAGGTATCAGTGCCTTCAGCCAGGCTGATTTTAACGTACTTTAAAATCAGGCGATTTTCAACACCCCCCTCAAAAAAATAAACTATAAATATGAATAACATAGCAAAACAGGTCATTAAGCTAGTGCCAGATGATTAATCAATTATATACCTATACTCTGTATTAGGTACTCAATATATCAGTACCTAATACAGAGTAGGCTCTTGTTTATTGTTGATCTGCACCAGATAGAGAACCTCAGTGCTACATAACTGGAAATTATGTTTCTAAAAAGGAGACAGGTGGGGCAGGTTAGGGGGCTGGTATATGACACTATAAAAATATACACTAGATAAGAAAAAAGTATACAATAGCGGTAGACAAATGCTCACTTTAATCACAATTCTAAATTAATTGTTTTCACATTAACATGGATATTTCAATAAACCAAGAAAACTGAGTTAAGTATTATATATTTTTTAAGTTAACATGATTTGAAATTTTTTATTAAAAATTGATCAGAAGCTAGTTGAAATTTTCACCATGAATATGAAATATTAATTGTTTTTCAACATAAATTGTTTTTTAACATAAATTCAAATCTAAGCTTCCTGAAAACCTGTATTATCTAATATCACAATAGGGATGACTAAGTGCTTGACAACTGCTTTCTAAAGAATTTAACAAAAAGTTACTACTTGAAGAAACAGCTTTCCCTTGTTCATATTTACAACAAAAAGGGTAACATTCTCTGCAGAGCTCTCATTTTATCATGAAATGTGGACAATCAGGAACAGGTGAATGTAGTGGCATCAAGAAAAAGAGCATTTCAAAATATATCCACTTTTATTAAAGGTTTTGACAATGAAGATTTAATAAAATGTCTTTAAATTCTATTTGCTATAGAATAACCATCTACATAGGAGATGCATCCATAAAACCACAACCATTTTAGTGTGTAAAATATTTCCAAATTCATACTATAAAAAGATTTGGCTAAAATACAAAAAACCTTTGCAATAAAACTGACAAGGTAGCTTCAGTAGCATATAAGATTTCAGAAATGTCTTCTGAAAAATAAGAATGTTTCCTCTGCTACATAAAACTGAACAGTTAAGGTGCTATAAACTAGCTAAAGCCAGAAAGGCACATCATGTAACTAGAAAAGAACAGCATGTGATGTGGACTTCCTTCATGTAGAACTGATAGAAAAATAGAATATGCTTTTCACAAGGAAAGGCATGAGAAGACAGTTCTTATAAACAAAACTCACTGAAGGCTTAAAGAGCTTTACAGAGAACATAAACTTAAAATAGCTAGAGATCATTTATAGGACATGGTAATGGATTCCTTTATATGACAATACCTGCCCCAAATATAAACACAAATTAAATATAAACACCCTTGTAAAGCTGCAATTCTCTCAACCAAACATTCCTCTGGTACCACACTCAGCTGCTAGTGGCATTCGGATGCAAAGGTTTAACTCGTGCTAATCTGGACAAGCCAAGACGGAGACTCTGATTCGGAGACTTCACAGACACTACTGCCAGTGGGCTGCTGCTATTTCTGCTACCTCCAGATGCCGCTGAAAGGAAACATATGATGTGATGCTGATGATGTCAGAAATCTCTTAACAAAGATTAATTTAACAAACAAGAAGCAAAAAAGAAAAAAGGTAGTTGAGCATTATTCTCATTATTCTGCTTTCCAGAGTCTATCAAACAACAGACTAGATCAAAAGAATGAAATGTGCTAAAGAGCAGAAATAATACAATATTGCCTATTTCCAAACATCCCAGAAGTCAAGGTAATGACACTTAAACTTCAAGAAAGCTGAAAAAGGAAAGCTGGGAATGAATAACACTAGCTGTAAAGGCATAAAGAAATGCATACAGGCCGGGCGCGGTGGCTCAAGCCTGTAATCCCAGCACTTTGGGAGGCCGAGATGGGTGGATCATGAGGTCAACAGATCGAGACCATCCTGGTAAACATGGTGAAACCCCGTCTCTACTAAAAATTACAAAAAATTAGCTGGGCATGGTGGCGTGTGCCTGTAATCCCAGCTACTCAGGAGGCTGAGGCAGGAGAATTGCCTGAACCCAGGAGGCGGAGGTTGTGGTGAGCCGAGATCACGCCATTGCACTCCAGCCTGGGTAACAAGAGCGAAACTCCGTCTCAAAAAAAAAAGAAATGCATACAATGATAATTTCTGAAGTCAAAGAAAAAGCAAATGCATTTTAAAGGTCCTTCAATTTTTACAAGTAGTCCTTGAATAGTCTAGTTTTCAATTATTACATACCGTTTAAACTGGCAAACATTGTTTTTATTTACTTATACTAGTTTCATTTATACTATTACCCTAATGTAGCAATTATTTCCATCTATTTCAAAATTATCCCCATTAATATTCACAGTTGATGGTGACTGTAGTTGCTCACCTACACAACAGTATTATAAATTTAAAATAAATAATTACACCTGCTACCCTGTAACTCGGACTATACTGCTTTATCGTTTTCTAGTTTGAGAGATATAAAATAATATTTTATTTTAATTTACACTTCTTTAATTACCAGCAAGACTGAAATTCTTCCTATTTTCTAGTCATATTAATAGTTCTTGGGGACACTGGTATATTTATGCCACTGGCTGATTTTACTTTTGGGATCTTGGCGGTCTTCTCCAGTTGTATAAGATAGGTAACAAACTGGCAATGTGTGGGCCAAATCTAGCTCTCAGATATATTGTTTGGTTCACATGGTGCTTTTAAAAAAAGTCAACTTACAAAGATTAGCAGATTTCATATTAAAATCTGAATTTCTGGCTACTCTTGAAAACAAAAATCAGATCTAGAAATACCAGGCCCATAATCCTTAATCCTTTATAAGACAGAGCTGAGTAGCAGCTGCTTCCTTCCAAAGGGTTTGTGCTCCTGAGTCCAGCAAAATTCCTACTCACCCAAGTCTACTGCATGTGCCCAACTCACCCATTACATCACTTGCCTGACCTTGTCACATACTGACTTTATAAGCACTTTGTGCTCTATGATACTAACTCTTTATCCATCATTCTACTGTTTCCTTGTATGTTTTTTATTATGCTCCTTTTAAATTTCTACAGTTATGTCATTTCTTTTACATTTCTTTCATTGGGGAAGCACTATTTATTCTTGGAAATATACTAAGTATTACTCTTTGAATTTTATGACATCATTATTTCAGTAATTAATCTTCCCTCCTTTCCTTCTCCAAAGAGCTTTTAGGTCCTCATTAAAAATCTTAGAATTTGTAAACCAGAATGCACGTTAAAGATTACATCTGTTTCCAATATTTCATATGATGAAATTAAGACTCTGTTAGTTAAGTAATCATGGCAGCCTCACAGTTCAGGCCTAAAGCTGAATACTAGTCATCAGGGGAGTGACGACTGTGGATGAATCAAAAAAGGCCACTCAAAAGAAAAACAGGAGTAGAATTGGAAGGGCTTAGGAGAGGGAACATATGAATAAAAATATACCAGGCAGAGGAGGATAAAAAGAGGCCCTGAGAGAGTAAAACATATAACCATTCAAAAGTGGGCAAAGGATATGAACAGACACTTTACGAAAGAAGACATATATGAGGCCAACAATCATATGAAAAAATGCTCATCGTCACTGGTCATCAGAGAGATGCAAATCAAAACCACATTGAGATACCATCTCACGCCAGTTAGAATGGCGATCATTAAAAAATCTGGAGACAACAGATGCTGGAGAGGATGTGGAGAAAAAGGAACACTTTTACACTGTTGGTGGGAGTGTAAATTAGTTCAACCATTGTGGAAGACACTGTGGCGATTCCTCAAGGCCTTAGAAATAGAAATTCCATTTGACCCAGAAATCCCATTACTGGGTATATATCCAAAAGACTATAAACTGTTCTACTATAAGGACACATGTACACGAATGTTCATTGCAGCACTGTTTACAATAGCAAAGACCTGGAATCAACCCAAATGCCCATTGATAATAGACTGGATTGGAAAAATGTGGCACATATACACCATGGAATATTATGCAGCAATCAGAAATGATGAGTTTGTGTCATTTGTAGGGACATGGATGAATCTGGAGAATGTCATCCTCAGCAAACTGACACAAGAACAGAAAACGAAACACCGCATATTCTCACTCATAGGCGGGTGATGAAAAATGAGAACACATGGACACAGAAAGGAAAGTACTAAACACTGGGGTCTATTGGGGGGAAAAGGGGAGGGCCAGTGGGAGGGGGCAGTGGGGAGAGATAGCCTGGGGAGAAATGCCAAATGTGGGTGAAGGGGAGAAGAAAAGCAAAGCATACTGCCATGTGTGTACCTACACAACTGTCTTGCACACTCTGCTCATGTACCCCAAAACCTAAAATCCAATAAAAAGTTAAAAAAGAACAAACAAACAAACAAAAAAACATATAACATGTTTGAGAGACAAAAAGTGTTTCACTGAATGGACAGTTTCACTGAATTAGAGGGTCCATGGATGAGAGAAAGTAAAGACAAGACTGGTTATGAAGGCAGCAACAATTTGGGCATGGATTAGGGTTTTAGTAATGTCAAGAAGGGTGAAGTTTAGAGAATTCTTGAAGGATCCATGAGGCTTGGCTGTGGAGCAAAAGAAAACAAAGAGAAGCGAAATTTGTAAAAGTCAGAGGTTGACTTTGCTAGAGCATTTGCTAAATGCTAGAATTGCCACATATAGATCCCAAGGCTTCAGTCAGACTATGGAGGTCAAGCAGGTCTTGGGCAAAAGATGTGCTGCCAGAAATACATATATCAGGAATCTCAAATGTTTATACTCTCTAACACTGTAATTATCCTACTAGAAATTTTATCCTGGGAAAATAATCAGTAATGTGCTCAGAGATTCCTGAAATAAGGACATTTGTGCTTATTGCAATCTTACTTACAGCACTAAAAATCATAAACCTGGATGTCTAACAATAAGGGAATGGTTAAATAAATGCAGCATGAAGAATATGTAATAATATAGGGAAATGCTCACACATGACATTTATAACTAGGAAAACAATTTACCAGTGATAATTTTCCAAGTTACTGCCCTTGATATATATACCATACCTGGTGGGACCCATTTAGGTCTCTTATTTTCAGCTGAAGGACTGCGTATTTGTAATAGTTTGCTAGTGACATCTGAAGAAAGAGAATCCTTTTTTGGCGAGGAATGAGATTCTGATTTGACAGCAGCTGGAGCAGAGTCTATCGAAGTCACTTATTTGAAAAATAAACGTAAAAAAGTTTGTCATTCAGGAAGAAAAAGTAAGTTTAGCATGTATGTATAAAAATTATAAAGTTACATAATCATATAAAAAATAAACTTATTAATCAACAAACATGTACTGACAGCCTAAGAACAGCCATCTTTTATAAGCATTAATATACCGGGTAGTGGGTGGGCATATCACACACATTACCTTTAACCTTTTACAACAACTCCAATACAGATACTAATCTCCCCACTATCAGAGAAGGAAATAGAGACGTTAAGCAGTCTTAACGTGCACACCTGTAATCCCAGCTAAAGGCATGCACAGTGTGGTGGCTGAGGCAGGAGAATCACTTGAACCTGGGAGGTGGAGGCTGCCGAGAGCCGAGATTGTGCCACTATACTCCAGCCTGAGAGACAGAGCGAGACACTGTCCCCACCCCCGACAACACTGTAAATGTGAAAATGGAAAAAAAAATTGGAGACAGTGAGTGGAAACACCACTTTAGACAGGCTCTCAGGAAGAATGTCAGGGCCTGAGATGTCACAGATGCAACTCCACCCCCACAGCCACATAACATTTGTTGAAAGTGAGGCAGAGGGAGGTCAGAAGACTTGCTGGGGAAAAGTGGGGCAGGGCTGGCTCTTCAGAACCAGGAGCACCTCCCAGAGCCGTACTTTCTGTCTGCCCCAAGCAGGGAGCCTTGTCTGTCCAGAAGAAAGTTTGAGAGGAATGCCAAATGTGGGTGAAGGGGAGGAAGGCAGCAAAACACACTGCCACGTGTGTACCTATGCAAATGTCTTGCATGTTCTGCACATGTACCCCACAACCTAAAATGCAATAAAAAGATAAAAAAATAAATCAGGGTCAGAGCGACTGGTGCTATTTATAATAAAAAAAATCTAACTTGTGTGTGGTATGCCCAATAAATATTATTCTCTTTCTCCTCAAAAAAAAAAAAAAAAAAAAAAAGAAAAGAAAAAGAAAAAGAAAGAAAGAAAGGCAGAGAGGCCACCATTGTCTAGGGGCTTGCCCAAGTCATGCCTCAAACCCGCAGGCAGGCATCTTTCCCCTGCAAAACCCCATTGTCCAGATGAAGATCTGCCACTCGGAGAGGCAAGCCCAGCTCTAGCCCAGGGGATGAGGAGGCCCGCAGCTCAGAGCTCTGGGTCAGGTCTCATTCCTCACTTGGATCAGACCCATAGCAAGTCATGCAGCCTCAGCATTAGTCTCCTCATCCGTGAGTGTAGATACCGCCCCTACCAAGGCTGACCTGGGCATTACATGAAATGGTGGAGAGCCGGTCACAGTGGCTGGCCTGGGTAAGCAGCTGTTATATCTGCCAACATCGTTGCTACAGGCCTCTGCCTCTCTGCTCTGAGTGAGATGGTCTGGGTGACTGCTGGCAGCAAGTCCTGCCCACCTGAGCCCTCTTGGTCTCTGGAACCTCAGGCAAGAAGTCAGCTGAGGTTGCCCCTTCTCTGGTAGGTTCCAGGTCCTGCCTCCCTCTCAGGGTCCCTGACCTCTGTGCAGGCAGAGTGGGTGTCAGGCTACTAGTCTCTCATTTATTGATTCTTTAAATATTAGCTGTGCATTAGTTGTGCATGTGTTATGTGCCAAGCACTATGCAGGGCACTCAGGGTTGGCAGAGTGGAGTGAAAGCAAACCTGATCTCTGCTCTCATGAAGTTCCCTGAGTTGTAGGGGACACAGACTGTTTTCTGTTTTTGTTTTTTGAGACAGGGTCTTGTTCCGTCGCTTAGGCTGGAGTACAGTAACATAATCACAGCTCACTGCAGCCTTGAGCTCTCAGGCTCAAGCAATCCTCCCACCTCAGCTGCCCGAGCAGCTGAGACCACAGGTGTGTGCCACCACACCTGGCTACTGCTTTCAGTTTTTGTAGAGACAGGGTCCCACTAAGTTGCCCAGGCTGGTCTTGAACTCCCTGCCCCCAAGCACTACTCCTGCCTCAGCCTACCAGTGTTGGGATTACAGGTATGAACCACCATGCCTATCCTGGATGCAGGCTTTAAACAAAGAGTCACACCAATAAGAAGAGCTGTGAAGGTCAGGGCATGACCCCAGACGGGCGAACACTGCATTGGAGGTCCAGGAAGACTCTCCCGACAAGGCAACCCTGAGCCAAGATAAGGATAAGAGGGAGCTGATCACATGGAAGAGGGAACAGTATTCCTGGCAAGTGGAACAGCATGTGCAAAGGCCAGGTAGTAAGAGGGGCTTCAGGGACAGTCTATGGCTAGAGCAGAGTGATTGAGGGCATGTGAAATGAGAGGCGGCCAGGGTGGCAGGCAGGGACTAGCCCAATCAGTCATGGAAGGGATGGGACTTTGGTCACTGTTCCACATTTCCAGATGTTTACTGTGTGCCAGGCTTGGTGCTAAATGCTTTTCTGAAGTATCACACTAGATTCTCACATAGGTAGGACAGCAACTGTTCTTCACATTTTAGAGATGAAGGGCTTGATCTCAGGTTAGATCCCTCAGCGGAGAGCCCACAGTGAGGAAGCAATGGGACCTGTGACGGCAAGGCCTGTGTTCAGAACTGCCAGGCTACACAGAACTCAACTCACTACAACCTCCTGAAGTGGGTATGATTATTCTTCCCACTTTGCAGAGGAGGACATGGGCCCACAGAGCTTGTAGGTGGAGTTGAGCCTGGGAAATCTGGCTCCAGAGTGTCCACGGTCTCAACCACTGGCTCACATGGCTTCTTAGGAAGCAGGAGAAAAGGCAGCTCAGGCCACCATGTGAAAAGAGTGGAGCGGGGACAGTGGCGTGACTGGGACCATGCTGTGATGGAGTCCAGTGGACACATTCAGGATGAGGTGAAACATGCTGGCCCCGGTGAGGGGCTAGATGGAGCTGGGATGAGGGGGAGCCAGGTGAACTTGGGGTTGGGTTGGTGCTGCTGGAGGGTGTGCGGAGTGTCTCTGAGGTGAGGCCAGGTGGGGTGGGAATGCCATGTTTGGTCTGGGACATGGAGCATTTGGATGGCTATGGGGCAGTGCAGTGGAGAGTCAAAAAGGCTGCTCAGACCCAGGTCTGGCGAGATGGAGGCTGGAGGTGGGGTGAGCCGTCTAGGAGAAGGACAGAGTGGGAAGCAGAGGCTCTCGACTTGGCTTTCTTGCCAAAGTAGGGATCTGAAACAGAAAACTGTGGAATCTAAGCTGGAGAGGAAAAAAGAAGGAGAATGAGAATGCACAAGCATGGGACAGAATAATATGCATTTCTTTGGCTCCTCTGTACCTGAGTCTTCTAAAGCTGTGGGCAGATGACCCCCGGGAGGCTGCAGGGATGCCAGCTGGGAGCTGAGTGCAGCTCTGCTGCCTGGGCATGGCCTGGGTGAGGGTGCATACCCTCGCCTGTGATTGCCAGGGAGCATGAGTGATGAGAACAAGGTGGCTGACAGGGTGAGGCCCAAGCCTGGAGCTTGCTCAGGTTGGGGGGGTCTGGGACCTTTGAGGGGGTCTTAGGGAGCTTCCCCAGCCCTAAGGGCACCATGAACTGCTTCACACTGACCTGGGCATACACGGCTGCATGATCTCTCGCTCACTCTCTCACATGCAAATGTAGACCATACAGCCATCCTGCCCACAGATCCAGAAAGCCCAGGACACAACAGAGCTGTAGTGCCTGCCTGACTCCCACACACAACAGACCTAGCCCAGGAACATGCAGCCCAGTGGCAGGAGCCACTCACCCGAGCCCTCACTGCCTGAGGACCCCCCAGCCTCTGGCCTCATTTTCCCCCCACCCTTGTCAGCCAGCCAGGGGGACAGAACAGGCCTGGATCTAACCCAAGGCCCAGACTCAGCCTGACACTGTGTGAACTCAAGGCCTTCCCCACCTCACCCAGGGCCAGAGCCCTTGCCTGTAAAGTGGAAGTGGGAATGGCCACCACCCAGGTAGAAACCCTCACTTAGGGCCTCACGGCCAGGCATCAGGGCTGTTGGGAGAGGGGCCAAGGAGCCCTTGCCTGTCTTGGTATCCCACCATCACCAGGAGGGGGCTGCGTGGGCATCACACCCCTCACAGATGAACAAAGGGAGGCAGCGAAGGGCCTCAAGGTGAGTTAGGGGCAAGGCCCCAGCTCTGCTGCTGCCCCTGCAGTCTGGGATGGGAGGGTAGCTAGTGGCCAACCCCAAGGACTCAAGGCTAGGGTCCTGTGGCCTGCTCCCAGCCTGCATGCCGCAACATGGGGGTCCTCTGGCTGGCCCAGGAGCACGATCGGCCCAGCAGAGCAGCTCGGTGTTATGGGGAAGGGAGGCCCAGCCCACCAGGCCAACCGCCTGGGGCCCCATGTATATTTAATGATGTCTATTATTCCTGTTTTGTCTCTAGAAAAGACTGAGCAGCTGACAGCGGAGCTGCAAACAGCCCAGGACCCGGGCCTGGGCCTGCTCCATATTCCAGCTGGGCCCTAGGCCCCCCTGGAGCTCTCTACCTCTCCTGACAGCCTCACAGAACCTGCTGCATCCCTCCGAAAAGGCACACCTCCTCCGGGAAGCCTTTGCTGCTGCTCACAGGTCTTACATCTAGGCTCTGCATTTAAAAACTGTGCAACCTGCACCAGCTTCCAAGGGACAGTAGAATACCGTGGGGTGCCGGCACTGTCCCTGGCACATTATAGGTACTCAACGAGCCCCTGCCAGCCCCTCTCCTCCTGGCTTCTGAGGCAACAGGAAATGGTCAGCCACCTTGTTCTCATGGGGGAGCCTCCCTGCCACCCAGATGGTCACAAAGGCCTCCTGGGATGCTGCCCACCTTGGCAGCCAGGTCCCTCTGGAGGGGCCAGTCTGGGCCTGACACCCATGACCAACTCCCTGGGTAGAGCCTGCCTGTGCCTGGCTGAGGAACCCTGCATTCTCCTTGCCACCCATGGCCTGGGGCTGCCCTGGGGATCCAGGCTCCACCCTCTCCAACTCCCAGGCCCACTGCTACCCTCAATGCTTGACCTGTGCCCACCTGACTCAACCTGGCTACTGTTCAGCAAGGTTACAAAGTCTTCTCAGTCTGGACAGGAATGGTTTTCAATCCTTTATTTCAGAAAGGAGAGCCAGGAGAACTGGGGACTTAGAAAACAGATTCTAAACTCAGAAGTCCCTGGCCCAGGTGTGTAGAGCCAGGGTCTGGGGGTTTTGTGCTGGGCAGGAGCTGCCCTGGGAGGGTCAGAAAGAGGGAGGCACTTTATGACACCCCTTAGGCTGTGGAGGGTGTCAGCTGGGCCTTTGAAGCCACTAAGCTCTGCTTCCAAGCCTGGAGAGCCTTGAGTGGAAGACACAAGGGGGTTTCTTCCTGGAAGGGCCCCCACCCCGAGTGTCAGAGAAGTGTGTGTATTTGTATTTTTGTTTGGGTGTTTGTGTGTCCCAGTAGGACCGACGCCCCCAGGGAGATGAGGCAGGTGGGCGGGAGGCCTGGCAGGCGCCATTCCTTCTTCACGATCTGGATGACCTTCTCATGCTCCATGGTGTGGGTCAGACCCACCCGCTGCGAACTGTACTTGGTGCTGGTGCCCTGGGTGAGGAATGGGGGCAGAGGGGTCACCTCAGCCTGGACTGGCCAAGGGCAAGGCCAAGAAAGATATCCCCGGGGTGTGTGTCCTGGGGGTGAATGCTGGCATAAGGTTAGGGCCCCAGGCAGCAGGACGTCTGCAGTCATCTGACCATCCCTGACCTCAAAGGTGGGGGAGGGCCAGGCACAGTGGCTAATGCCTGTAATCCCAGCACTTTTGGAGGCCTCATTTAAGCTCAAGGCCTGCAGGTCCACTTCCCTGACAGAGATGGGAAGGTGGCTGATTCGGGCCTACAAATGGGTCTTACATTTTACTCAGCTTGCCACTTGTGAGTGTCTGAAGGGATTCAGTAGGGTGATCGTGAGTCTTCTTGGCTCCTCCTGCTGTGATCTCAAGCCTAGGTCTTAGAGAGATGGGACATTGCATGGCCTCATTTGTTCAACACCTCCAGGGTGGCACCCAGAGACCTGGGGCTGGGCTTTCAGAAGGAATGAATGCATGAGACCAGATTACAATCCCAGCCACCACTGTCATAAGGGGCTAGAGGGACAGTGTCCCTTGCTTCCATGATACAGATCCCAAGAAGAAATCAGCTTGAGGAAAATAACACCTGGGAAAGCAACAGCCCAAGCACAGCCATGTGACCCAACACTTGGCCACCACCAATGCCTGCAGGGTCATGTTCATGTGACAGAATTCTGGAAAGAGAAAGGCAGCCTCGTGCTCCCTGAGCCAATAGCACCTCCTCTGGGGCCTGTGCATGCCCGCTCCCCTATCTGGGATGCTCCCCACCCCAACTCCTCACTGCCAGACCTGCTAGTTCTACAAGCCAGCTCAGGTGGCCTCCTTGAAACCTGTCCTGTCTTCTGTGTTGAGCCAGTGCCATTCCCCACTCCTTGGCTGATGCCTGAATGGCATGGGAGCAGGGTTACTGGCATCTATGCACTACAGGCAGCGTGCTCAGTGCCCTACATGCTGGACTTCATCCAATGTATCTTCCTGATGACCCGGGGGGGCAGGCAGCACATCCCACCTCACAGGAGAGGCTGGAGGTATAGCACATGGCTAGGAAGTGGTACTGCAGATGCAGCCCCAGACTGTCCAACTCCAGAGCCTGTGTGTCATCATCTGAGATTGAGACCAGCAGAGCCCACCCCTGGCCCAGGGCACCTCAGGCAGAACAGCGCTCCAAGGGGCACACAGAGCTCCCACCTCCTGTTAGGGCAGGTCTTGTCAACTCACCATGTGCTCCACTGAGGCCCCTTTCCGGAGGATGATGGCGTCTGTCAAGTCCGGCCTCTCTGCAGGGCGAGATGGGGAGAGCGTCAACCACACACGAGGACCCACACTGCCACCTCATGATTCTGCCCGAGGGAAGAGATGGCTGCAGAGGCTCTTTCAGTCTCCTTGCCTTGCCCTAATGTCCCCAATATCCAGCACGCCCTCCACATATATCCCTGCACCATCTTCTACAAGCCTGACTTGAACACAGTGACTCAAAATAAATCAAAGTCCAGGATCACACTGCCTGCCACCCATCTGCTGTGAAAGCACTGACAAAGACCAGGATCTAGACTGAATGGGCAGGACCCAAAGGGATGTTGGAGTCTCGTGAGGGAAACTGTAGCTCGCTCCTTGCTGCCAAGGTCAGCTGTCGGCCCTGAGGATGGCAGCCCCTCTAAGGCCTGGGACACAGCAAAAGTAGTGGAGCTGAGGCTGTGCTATGGGATGGACACTGCTCTTTGTGGTGGTGACAACAATCACGAAATGGTCCTTGTACTCAGGCCAGGACCCTCAACCACCATTGGCACTGTCCAGCCTCTTGGTCCCTGAGCTCTCTGTACTGTCGGCTGAGCTTCACTGTGAAGCTGCAGAGCGCCGGCTTCAAGCCAGGAAATCAGAAAAGGGAAGCACCTGAATCAGTCTGCCCAAGGGAGGAACCTGCCAGGTGGCGCTAGCAAGTGAACAAACAGCCAGTGTGGGTTGTATCCCTGGGACCCACCCTGCAAAGGAGGGCAGGAATTAGGTGACCAGAGCCTGAGAACATTAGTTCCTTTCCCCCCTTTGAGCTGTGATCAGACAGAGGGCCTGAGCTTTCGGGCCTATACAGGCTGCCAGGGGCTGGGGAGGAACCGAGTCCCCAGAGGTTGCTGCAAGGAAAATTCAAAAATTGAGCCTGTAGACATGGCCAAGAAAAGGAGCTGGGCCCCAAAACACCTACCTGAAGACGTTCTGGGCCCAGAGAGGATGCCATCAGGCCAATGCTGGGCCCGGGAGGGCCACCGGGAGGCATCAGATTGGCCCCATGTGGCCACGGAGAGGAAGCTTTGGGCCTGGACAGGCCGCCGGGAGGCAGGAGCTGGCTCGGGAGAGTCTGTGATAGGCGAGCTGGGCTCAGGAAGACCCCTGCGAGGGAGCGCCTGAGCCTAGACTCAAGGCAAGAGTGAGGCGAGAGCTGGGTCCGGAGAGGTTTGCCACAGGCATGAGCTGGGCCCCAATGGGCCACTGTGAGGGAAGCACTGGGCTCCAATGAGCCACTGTAAGGAAAGCACTGGGCTCCAATGAGCCACTGTGAGAAAAGCGCTGGGCTCCAATGAGCCACTGTAAGGAAAGCACTGGGCTCCAATGAGCCACTGTGAGGGGGACGCTGGGCTCCAATGAGCCACTTTGAGGAAAGCGCTGGGCTCCAATGAGCCACTGTGAGGGGGACGCTGGGCCTGTGGATGCAGCCAGAATGCAGGCAGGCAGGCAGGATCTCGGTGTGGGGAAGCTATCAGCAAGCAGCAGCTGGTGCTGGGGAGGCTGCAGAGAATCCAGAGCTGGGTCCAGAGGGGCCAATGTCAGACGGTAGCAGGGCCTGTGAAGGCCACTGGTAGGCAGAATGGAGGCAGAAACCCCACTTGAGAAGCTTCGGGCCAAACTGAGCCTCAACTGGCCAGTGTGAGGGAGGTGCTGGGCCTGTGGATGCAGCCAGGATGCAGGTAGGCAAGACCTTGGCCTGCGGAAGCAGTCAGCAGGCAGCAGCTGGGACTGGGGAGGCTGCGGGGACTCCAGAGCTCGGCCCTGAGGCCCAGTCCTGCTTTGTCCTCCTGCTGGCCTCGGGAAGCCCAAGCATTGGGTCATGAAGTCCGCATCTGCAGGTCCAGCTCCTGCCCTCCCGGCGGCACCCCCCAACCTGGGTGCAATACATCATCACGTGGTCCCCTCCGGGGCTAGGTCCTGCATCCCAGTGGCCCCATGGGGCCCAGGTCCTGTTCCCATCAGGCAGTCACTCCAGGAGGCCCAGCCTGTGCCTCCCTACTGGCAGCCTCACGAGGCCTGAACCTTCTCCTGGCCACATCAACTGGCCCAAGTTTTGCGCCAGGCAGCCTCTTTTGGCTCGGCCTTTCGTCTGTCGACCCGAAGCTTCCTCAGGTGGGGCCTTCTAGGTGTCCCTTCTGTTGAGGCCACCGGGAGGCAGAAGGGATTCCCGAAAGGTGCCACCTGAGGAAGCTTTGGGCCGACAGATGAAAGGCCTCCAGGAGATGGCCAGGAGCCGAGCCAAAAGACGCTGCTGGGGACCAGGTGCAGTGGCTCACGCCTGTAATCCCAGCACTTTGGGAGGCCGAGACGGGTGGATCACGAGGTCAGGAGATCGAGACCATCCTGGTCAACATGGTGAAGCCCCGTCTCTACTAAAAATACAAAAAATTAGCTGGGCATGGTGGCGCGTGCCTGTAATCCCAGCTGCTCAGGAGGCTGAGTCAGGAGAATTGCCTGAACCCAGGAGGCAGACATTGCGGTGAACCGAGATCATGCCATTGCACTCCAGCCTGGGCAACAAGAACAAAACTCCAACTCAAAAATATAAATAAAAAAATTAGCTGAGCATGGTGGCCGTGCCTGTAATCCCAGCTACTCAGGAGGCTGAGGAAGAATTGCCTGAACCCAAAAGGCGGAGGTTGTGGTGAGCCGAGATCACGCCATTCTACTTCAGCCTGGGTAACAAGAGTGAAAATAGGTCTCAAAAAAAAACAAAAAACAAAAAACAAAAATTAGCTGGGCATGGTGGTGCATGCCTGTAATCCAGCTACTGAGGAGGCTGAGGCAGGAGAATTGCCTGAACCCAGGAGGCAAACATTGTGGTGAACCGAGATCATGCCATTGCACTCCAGCCTGGGCAACAAGAGCAAAACTCCATCTCAAAAAAACCAAAAAAAAAATTAGCTGGGCACAGTGGCGGGTGCCTGAAATCCCAGCTACTCAGGAGGCTGAGGAAGGAGAATTGCCTGAACCCAAAAGGCGGAGGTTGTGGTGAGCCGAGATCACACCATTCCACTCCAGCCTGGGTAACAAGAGCGAAAATAGGTCTCAAAAAAAAAAAAAATACAAAAAATTAGCTGGGCATGGTGGTGCATGCCTGTAATCCCAGCTACTCAGGAGGCTGAGGCAGGAGGACTGCCTGAACCCAAGAGGCAAAGGTTGAGGTGAGCCCAGATCAGGTCATTGCACTCACGCCTGGGTAACAAGAGAAAAACTCCATCTCAAAAAAAAAAAAAGAGGCTGCCAGAGGCAAAACTTGGGCCCGTAGACATGGCCAAGAGGAGGATCCAGGCCTGGAGAGGCCGCCAGTACGGAGGCAGAGGATGGGGCTCCAGGAGAGGCTGATGGGAGGCAGGAGCTAAGCCCAGGGAGCCTTTGGGAAGCATGAGCTGGCCCTAGAAGGGCCCATGTGACAATGTTTTGCACCCATGGGGAGGAGATGCCAGGAGAACTGGAGCTGGGCCTGGAGAGGCCGAATTGAGAACCCAATGCTTGGGCCTGTAGAAGCCAATAGGAGGAGTCCGGACCCGGGCCTGGAGAAGCCGACTCTGGGACATCTGGAACCTGTAGGAACCCTGGCTGGGCAGAAGCTGAGCCTGGAGAGGCCAGGGTGAGGCATGAGCTGGGTAGTCTTGAGAGCCTGAGTCACGGGCCTGAGCTTTCGATCCTGCAAAGGCCTCCGGGAGCTGGGGAGGAGCCGAGTCCATAAAGGTTGCTGCGAGGCGAGATTGGAAGGTTGGCCCTTAGAAGTCGCCGGAAGGAGGGGCTTGGCCCCAAGAGGCTGACCTGAAGACACTCTGGACAAGGAGAGGATGCCAGAAGGCCAACGCTGGGCATGGAAGGGCCGCCTGGGGCCACTGGGAGGCTACAAGCTGGGCCTGTGAGGACAGGCTGCCACAGAGGCAGGAGCTGGGCTGAGGAGAGGCCATGATGAGGCCACAAGCTGGGTCTGGAGGGTCCACTGAGAGGCAGAGGCTGGGCCCGGAGGGGCCTAGCACAGGCAAAAGCCAGGCCTGGAGAGGCGGGGCCCGGAGGAAGCTTCGGGCCTGGACAGGCCGCTGGGAGGCAGCAGCTGGCCAGAGTTTATGAGAGGCGAGCTGGGCCAAGAACGGCTGGTGCGAGGGAGGACTTGGGTCCAGACTCAAGGCCAGCACCAGGGGAGAGCTGGCTCCAGAGACGTCCTGCAAAGGCATGAATTGAGCCTCAACTGGCCAGTGTGAGGGAGGCGCTGGGCCTGTGGATGCAGCCGGGATGCAGGCAGGCAGGCAAGATCTTGGCCTGCGGAAGCAGCCAGCAGGCAGCAGCTGGGGCTGGGGAGGCTGGGGGGACTCCAGAGCTCAGCCCTGAGGCCCAGTCCTGCTTTGTCCTCCTGCTGGCCTCGGGAGGCCCAAGCACCGGGTAATGATGTCCGCGTCTGCAGGTCCAGCTCCTGCCCTCCCGGCGGCACCCCCCAACATGGGCACAATACATCATCACATGGTCCCCTCCGGGGCCAGCTCTGGCATCCCAGTGGCCCCTGGAACCCAGGTCCTGATTCCCATCAGGTGACCTCTCCAGGAGCCCCAGCCTCTGCCTCCCTACTGGCAGCCACACCAGGCCTGGCACCTCCTCCTGGCCACATCTACAGGCCCAAGTTTTGCCCCTGGCAGCCTCTTTTGGCTCGACTACCGGCCAGCTCCCAGAGGCCTTTCGTCTGTCGGCCCAAAGCTTCCTCAGGTGCGGCCTTCTGGGCGTCCCTTCTGCCTCCCGGTGGCCTCAACAGAAGGGACACTGAGGAAGCTTTGGGCCGACAGACAAAACAACTCCGGGTGCTGGCCAGGAGCCAAGCCAAAAGACGCTGCTGGGGACCAGGCACAGTAGCTTACGCCTGTAATCCCAACACGTTGGGAGGCCGAGGCAGGTGCATCACGAGGTCAAGGAGATCGAGACCATCCTGGTCAACATGGTGAAACCCCGTCTCTACTAAAAATACAAAAAATTAGCTGGGCATGGTGGTGCGTGCCTGTCATCCCAGCTACTCAGCAGGCTGAGGCAGGAGAATTGCCTGAACCCAGGAGGGAGAGGTTGCAGTGAGCTGAGATCATGCCATTGCACTCCAGCCTGGGAAACAAGAGCAAAACTCCGTCTCAAAAACAAAAAAAATTAGTTGGCCATGGTGGTGCGTGCCTGTAATCCCAGTTACTCAGCAGGCTGAGGCAAAAGAACTGCCTGAACCCAGGAGGCAGAGTTTGCTGTGAGCCGAGATCGTGCCATTGCACTCCAGCCTGGGCAACAAGAGCAAAACTCTGTCTCAAAAAAAAAAAAAAAAAAAAAAATTAGCTGGGCACGGTAGCGTGTGCCTGTAATCCCAGCAACTCAGGAGGCTGAGGCAGGAGAATTGCCTGAACCCAGGAGGCAGAGGTTGCGGTGAGCCAAGATCGCACCATTCTACTCCAGCCTGGGTAACAAGAGCGAAACTCTGTCTCAAAACATAAAGAAAAAGAAATTAGCTGGGTATGGTGGCGTGTGCCTGTAACTCCAGCTACTCAGGAGGCTGAGGAAGGAGAATTGCCTAAATCCAAAAGGCGGAGGTTGAGGTGAGCTGAGATCACGTCATTGTACCTGCGCCTGGGAAACAAGAGCAAAACTCCATCTCTTAAAAAAAAAAAAAAAAAAGAGGCTGCCGGGGGCAAAACTTGGGCCCGTAGATGTGGCCAGGAGGAGGATCCAGGCCTTGAGAGGCCGCCAGTACAGAGGCAGATGCTGGGCCTTCAGGAGAGGCTGATGGGAGGCAGGAGCTAAGCCCAGGGGGCCTTTGGGAGGCATGAGCTGGCCCTAGAAGAACCCACGTGACGACGTTTGCACCCATGGGGAGGAGACACCAGGAAAACTGGAGCTGGGCCTGGAGAGGCCGAATTGAGAACCCAATGCTTGGGCCTGCAGAAGCCAATAGGAGGAGTCTGAAACCGGGCCTGGAGAAGCCGACTCTGAGACATCTGGGGCCTATAGGAACACTGGGTGGGCAGAAGCTGAGCCTGGAGAGGCCAGTGTGAGGCATGAGCTGGGTAGTCCTGGAGAGCCTGAGTCGAGGGCCTGAGCTTTTGGGCCTAAAAAGGCCTCCAGGAGCTATGGAGGAGCCAAGCCACAGAGGGTCCACTGAAAGGCAGAGGCTGGGCCCAGTATGGGCCTGGCGCAGGCAGGAGCTGGGCCTGGGGAAGCCGGGAGGCAGGAGCTGGCCTCAAAGAGTCCGTGATAGGCGAGCTGGGCTGAGGAAGACCCCTGCGAGGGAGCGCCTGGGCCTAGACTCAAGCCAAGAGTGAGGCAAGAGCTGGGTCCAAAGAGGTTTGCCACAGGCACGAGCTGGGCCCCAATGGGCCACTGTGAGGGAGGTGCTGGGCCTGTGGATGCAGCCAGAATGCAGGCAGGCACGATCTTGGTCTGGGGAAGCCACCAGGAGGCAGCAGCTGGTGCTGGGGAGGCTGCGGAGAGTCCAGAGCTGGGCCCAGAGGGGCCAATGTCAGGTGGTAGCAGGGCCTGTCAAGGCCACCAGGAGGCAGAATGGAGGCCGGGAAAGCCCCACTTGAGAAAGCTTCGGGCCTACAGAAGAAAGGCCACTGGAAGCTGATCAGGAGCTGAGCGAAAAGCAGCTATCGAGAGGCAGGATGTGGTCCAGTAGACGAGGCCAGGAGGAGGATCCGGGCCTGGGGAGGCCACCAGAAGGAAGACATAGGCTGGACCTCCCAGAGAGGCTGAGGGGAGGCAGAAGCTGGGCCCCAGGGGGCCGTTGGGAGACAGCAGCTGGCCCTGGAGGCACCCATGTGAGGAAGTTTGCCACCAATGGGAAGGAGACGCCAGGAGAGTAGGAGCTGGGCCTGGAGAGGCCGACTTCAGGACCCAATGCTTGTGCCTCCCGAGGCCAGGGGGAGGAGGCAGCAGCAGCCAGGCCTGCAGAAGCCGACTCGGGAACGTCTGGGGCCTAGAGATGCCCTCGGAGGGCACTAGCCGAGCCTGGGGAGGCCACTCGTGAGGCATGAGCCAGCTGGGCCTGGAGAGCCTGAGTCAAGTCTGAGCTTTCGGGCCTACAAAGGCTGTCGGGAGCTGGACAGGAGTCGAGTCCACAGAGGTTGTTGCGAGGCAAATTTGGAAGTTGGGCCCATAGCCGCCGAGAGGTGGAGCTGGGCCCTGAGAGGCCTACCTGAAGACATCCCAGGCCCAGAGAGGAAGTCAGCAGGCCAATGCTGGCCTCAGGAGGACCACCAGGATGCACCGGCTTGACCCGATGGGGCCATGGGGAGGCTGGGGGTGGGGCCTGTGGATACAGGCTGTCACAGAGGCAGGAGCTGAGCCTGAGCAGAGGCCACGGTGATGCCATGAGCTGGGCCTGGAGGGTCCACTGAAAGGTGGAGTCTGGGCCCGGAGGGGCCTGGTGCAGGCAGATGCCGGGCCTACGGGGGCCGGGCCTGGAGAGGAACCTTCGGGCCTGGACAGGCTGCCAAGTCAGGAGCTGGCCTGGGAGGGACGATGATAGGTGAGCTGGGCTGAGGAAGGCCACTGCGAGGGAGGACGTGGGCCTAGACCGAGGCCAGCGTGAGGTGAGAGCTGGGTCCGGAGAGGTTTGCCACAGGCACGGGCTGGGCCCCAATGGCCACTGTGAGGGAGGTAGTGGGCCTGTGGAGGCAGGATGCAGGCAGGACGGCAGGAAGGCAGTCAGGATCTTGGCCTGGGGAAGCCGTTGGCAGGTAGCAGCTCGTCATAAGGAGGCTGCAGGGATGCCAGATCTGGCCCCGGAGAGGATATTGTCAGGTGGTAGCTCGGCCTGTTCAGGCCACCGGGAGCTGGTCAGGAGCCGAGTCAAACGAGGCTGTCGGGAAGCAGGACATGAGCCTATAGATATGGCCAGGAGTAGGAGCCAAGCCTGAGGATGCTGCCAGGAGTGATCAGAGGCTGGGTCTCCTGGAGAGGCCGACAGGGTCCAAGGGGGCCATTGGGAGACAGGAGCTGGCCCAGAAGGGGCCGACATGAGGAAGTTTTGAGCCTGGAGAGAACACCTAGTGGGTAGGAGCTTGGCCTAATGAAGTCAGTGTCAGGCAGCAGCTGGGCCTCTCAAGGCTGCTGGGAGGCCGGCAAGAGCTTTGCCAGGGAAATCTTCATGAGGTAAGAGTTGGTCCTGGAGAGTCTATTGTCATCCAGTAGCTATGCCTGTTTAAGCCATTGTTCCTCAGAAGTTTCTGCTGGGGACCTTGAGTTGAGAAAGTGTTTGGCCTACAAAGGCCACCAAGAGCTGTATAAAAGCTGATCCATAGAAGGGTGTCAGGCAGGAGTTGGTCCTGGAGATGCAACTGGGAGGAAGAGCTGCACATCAAAAGGAAGTTCTGGGCCTGGAGACACTGCCAAAAAGTAAAAGCTTGATCAGATGGCCATTGTGATGCATGAGCTTCACCTAGACAGGCCATTGGGAGGCATTAGATGGGCCTGCAGATGCTGCTGAAAGGCAGGAGCTTGGCCTGGGGGCACTGTGGTGAGGCACATGCTTGGCCTGGGGTGTCTGCTGTGAGGCAGAGTTTAAGGCTATTGGGGCTGACTGGAGGCAGGAGTTGGACCTGGAATGGCAGATTTGAGAAATCTGTCAGTCCGGAGAGGCCACAGAGATGCAGGAACTGGGCCTCAAGAGGCCGCCGAAAGGCATGAGCTGTACCTAAAGAGTCCAGTGTGAGACAGAAGCTGTGCCTGAAGAGGGTGACTAGAAGAAGGTTTGGCCTGGACAGCCTGTCAGGGGACAGATGCTGAGTCTAGAGAGGCCATTGTGAGCTGGTCCTAATGAGGTTAGAGTGAGGCAACACCTGGGCTTGTCAAGGCTACCAGGAGGCAAGTAAAAACCAGTTCAAGGAATACCTGCGAGGCAAAAGCTAGGCCTGCAGAGGCCACTGGGAGGAAAGAGCTGGGCCTGTCCAGGTCATCGGAAGGCTCAAGGTGGGCCTGAAGAGCCTGACCTGAGGCAGTTGGATCACGAGGTCAGGAGATCGAGACCATCCTGGTCAACATGGTGAAACCCCGTCTCTCCTAAAAATACAAAAAAGAACCGATGTCAGACAAGTAAGAACATTACAGTGTGTGTTGAAGTACCTGTAAAACATTGTTTCTTTGCCTTTGTAAACAATGTGTCTACTAAAAGTCCTTGCTTTCAAAAGAATATGTGGGAATAAATCATTAGAATGTATTCTTCGGTTTTTTACTTTTATCTTCCTGCCACAAGCTTACTTTAGAAATTTTTATTTTTTTAGAAAATTGAACAAGTGCTCCTTGTGGTGGATCATGCCTATAGGATGGGAGGCAGGGGTGGAAAAGTCACTAGAGGCCAGGAGTTTGACACCAGCCTGACCAACAAAGTGAGATCCAATGTGTATGAAAACATTTAAAAATTAACCAGGTGTCATCATGTATAGCTACTGAGGAGGCTGAGGCAGGAGGATCCTTAGCTCAGGAGTGCAAGCCTGCAGTGACCTGTGATTGCACCACTGCACTCCAGCCTAGGTGACAGAGTGAGACCCCATATCCTAAAACAAAAAAGAAAACAAAATAGATCACGTAGCAAGTTGTATGTGGCCTACTCTGAATATTTTTAAACTGGAAGTTCTCAGAGTAATGCTTCTAAATCTTTTGGGGTCTAGCATCCCGTTACATTTTTTAACTTTATGTAAGATTTCTAAGACTTTTTCTTTGCACAAATAATTACATTAAAGTTAAAAAATAAAACGAACTTTTAAAAATATTTTTATTCATTACATATTAATAATAAAAACATTACATGTTAATATAACTAATACAAAACAAACATTTAAAAATATTTATTACTCGTTACCTATTAATAATAAAACTGGTTGGGTGAGATGGCTCATGCCTATAACCCCAGCAATTTGCGAGGCCGAGGTGGGTGGATCACCTGAGGTCAAGAGCTTGAGACTAGCCCTCCAACATGCTGAAACCCTGTCTCTACTAAGAAATACAAAATTAGCCAGGTGTGGTGGCAGGCGCCTGTAATCCCAGCTGCTTGAGAGACTGAGGCAGGAGAACTGCTTACACCCGGGAGGCAGAGTTTGCAGTGAGTCAAGATCATGCCATTGCACTCTAGCCTAGGTAACAAGAGCAAAACTCCATATTAAACAATAATAAAATTATTAAGTAGTAATATAAGTAATCCTTTTGTTTCTTTGAGACAGAGTCTCGCTCTTTCCCCAAGGCTGGAATGAAGCTTGTAATCTCGGTTCACTGCAATCTCTGCCCCACCTCCCGGTTCAAAGGATTCTCCTGTCTCAGCCTCTGAAGTAGCTTGGATTACAGGTACCTGCCACCATGCCTGGCTAATCTTTGTTCTTTTGTCTTGTATTTTTTTTGTTTTTTTTTTTTTGACGGAGTTTTGCTCTTGTTACCCAGGCTGGAGTGCAATGGTGAGTTCTCGGCTCACCGCAACCTCCGCCTCCTGGGTTCAGGCAATTCTCCTGCCTCAGCCTCCTGAGCAGCTGGGATTACAGGCATGCGCCACCATGCCCAGGTAATTTTTTGTATTTTTAGTGGAGACGGGGTTTCACCTTGTTGACCACGATGGTCTCGATATCTTGACCTTGTGATCCATCTGCCTCGGCCTCCCAAAGTAATCTTTGTTTTTTAGTAGAGATAAGGGTTTGCCATGTTGGCAAAGCTGGTCTTGAACTCTTGACTTCAGGTAATCTACCCACCTCATTCTCCCAAAGTGTTGGGAATGCAGGCGTAAGTCACTGCACCCGGCCCGATTAACATATTTTTTAAAACACTGATTAGTCAGGCAACAACACTGGGCAGGGGTCTCCTCATTCCCAGTGATAAAAACCCCACGGCATGGCTCCAGGGTTGCAAGGGCTGCAGAGCCAAAAGGCTCTGACTTGAGATTTCATTACTTTATTTGTATTGTGAGGCAAGGTCCTGCTTTGCCACCCAGGCTGGAGTGCAGCTGTGCACTTATAGCTCACTGCAGCCTCAATGTCCTGAGCTCAAGCCATCTTCCTGCCTCAGCTCCCCAGTGCTGGTACTACAGTTGAGTGCCACCATACCTGGCTAATTTCTTATTTTTTTGTAGAGTGCGGAGTCCTGCTATGTTGCCCAAGCTGGCCTCAAACTCCTGACCTCAAGAGATCTGCCCACCTCAGCCTCCTGAGTAGCTGAGACTACAAGTACACATCACCATGCCTAGCTACATTTATTTTATTAAATTTTGAAAAATATTTTTGTAGAGAGGAGGTCTTGCTATGTTTCCCAGGCTGGTCTTGAACTTCTGCCCTTAAAAGATACTCCCATCTCTGCTTCCCAAACATCTGGGACTACAGACATGAGCCACTGCACTGCACCTGAAGAGATTTCTTTAATCTAGCATCCCATATTTGGTAACACTGGGAAAGGCAGTAGAGTTTTAAAAATTACTTAATAATTCAGTAAGAAACAAACTCAACCTCGACCCCTGCCTTCTCTCACACCCCACAATCCAGTCTGTCAGGAAATCCTGTTCACTGTCTTTACCATGTACTGAAGATCCCCACCTAGCAAGTCCCTGGACTCCTCCCCTACTTCTCTCCTGACTATCTCTAACCACCACCATGACCCTGGTCAGGACCACTATCATCTTCCACCTGGATGTTACCACAGTTTGACCCCCATGCTTCCAAACAAATCTTCCCAGTCTTTCTCAACTCAGCAGCCAGAGAATGCTTTTACATCAAGAGACAGATCATGTCGCCTCTCTGCTCAGAACCCTCCCACAGTTCCCATCTCATAGTAAAAGCCAAAGCCCCAGCAATAACCTCCCAGGGCTTACACGATCTATACTGATCCCCACCCAGCAACTCCATGGCCTCCTCCCCTAATTCTCTCCCCATCTCCTGCTCCACTGACCTCCTTCCAGAGCCTCAGACACTTTCTTCTGTTGTTTCTGCCCACAATGCTCCTCCTTCAGCACCTTGGCCAGCTCCTTCCCTCCAAGTCTTTGCTCAATTTTCACTTAGGAGGCCACCCCTGACCTTTCTATTTAACATTGCCATCTGTCCCCACTCCCACTGTGTTCATTTTTTTTTTTTTTTAAACAAGATCTCACTCTATCACCAAGGCTGGAGCGGAGTGCTGCAATCACAGCTCACTGCAACCTCGAATTCCTAGGCTCAACTGATCCTCCCACCTCAAGACTCCCTAGTAGCTGGAACGATAGGTGCATGCCATCATGCCTGGCTAATTTGTTTTATTTTGAAATGGAGTTTCACTCTTCTTGCCCAAGCTGGAGTGCAATGGTGCAATCCCAGCTCACTGCAACCTCCACCTCCCAGGTTCAAGTGATTCTTCAGCCTCAGCCCCCCAAGCAGCTGGGATCACAGGTGTGTGCCTCTATGCCTGGCTGATTTTTGTATTTTTCGTAGAGATGGGGGTTTGCCATGTTGACCAGGCTGGTCTCAAACTCATGACCTCAGGTGATCCTCGGCCTCCCAAAGTGTTAGGATTATAGGAGTGAGCCACCACACCCAGTCAATTTAATTTTTTGTAGAGACAGAGTCTCACTATGTTGCCCAGACTGATCTTGGACTCCTGGCCTCAAGTGATCCTCCTGCCGGGATTCCCAAAGTGTTGGGATTACCAACATCACTCACGATGCTTGGCGTCAGGTTTATTTCCTCTTGCTGCTGCCAGAAACTACACTACATTAGTCCCTTAAAACACCACAAATCTACCAACTTACACTTCTAGGAATCAGAAGCCCAAATTAGGTCTATTAAGGCTAAAGTTAAGGTGTCAGCAGGGCTGCATTCCATCTGGAGGCTCTAAAATGTTCCCTTGGCTTTTCCAGCTTCTAGAAGCCACTCCCATTTCTTGGATCGTGGCCCTTAACTCCATCTTCAAAGCCAGAAGTGAAACATCTGCAAATCTCCCTCTCTAACTCTGCTTCCACCAACACATCTCCTGCTCCAATTCTCACTCTTCTAACCTCTTTCTTTTATAAGGATCTTTGTGGCTGCTGGGCATGGTGGATCCCACCCATAACCCCAACACTTTGGGAAGTCAAGGCAGGAGGAACATTTAAGGCCTGGAGTTTGAAACTAGCCTGGACAACATAGTGAGATCCCACCTCTACAAAAGTATAAAAATCAATATTAGCCAAACATGGTGGTGTGCACCTGCAGTCCCAGCTACTTGAGAGGCTGAGGTGAAATAACACTTTAGCCCAGGAGTTTGAGATCAGCCTGGGCAACATAACTAAATCTCGTCTCTACAAAAATGAGCTCGGCATGGGTGACATGCATGTGTAGTCCCAGCTACTCTGAAGTCTGAGCTGGGAAGATCACTTGAGCTCAGGAGGTCAAAGCTATCGTGAGCTATGATCATATTACTGTGCTCCAGCCTGGATGACACAGGGAGAGTCTGTCTCAAAAAAAAAAGAAAATAAATATATATTTGCTCTCTGTCCCTGGTTCCTGGCACAGAACTTTGAATGCTTATAAAGACCTCAGTGATAGAGGTGATAGGAGCATCTTTACTTTTAATATTTGGTCTTGGTCCCAGCTTTCTAACACAAGAGACTCTAAGAACTTTGGGATCTCCAGCATGCTAAGAATGCATTTGGGGATGTGGTTGAGATGACTGGGTGGCTGCATGCTCCTGGATTTCTTCAGGAGGAGGGCTGATTGCCAGAGAAAGCAACCACATGATTAGAGGCTTAGAACTTTTAGCCTCACCTGCTGAACTCCAGGAGGTGAGAGTGGCTGAAGATTGACTTAATTACGAATGGCCAAAGATTTTATCAATCAGGCTTGCATAATAGAGCCTCTGTAAACACCCTGAACAACAGGGTTTGCAGAGCTTCTGGTTGCTGAATACAGGAGGTGCTGGGAGGGCGGCATGTTGAACAGAGGGCATGGAGGCTCTGTGCACCTCCAACTTACCTTCCCCTGGGCATCCATCTTTCTTTCATTTCTTTCTCCCTTTCCTTCCTTTCTTTCTCCTCTTTCTTTTTTTTAAAGACAGGGTCTGGCTCTTTTGTCCAGGCTAGAGTGCAGTGGCACAATTTCAGCTCACCACAACCTAAGTTTCCCCAGTCCCCAGCTCAATGCATCCTCACCTCAGCTTTCCTAGTAGCTGGAACAACAGGTGCACACCACCACACCTAGTTATTTATTTATTTTCATTTAATTTTTGAGAAAAAATCTTGCTCAGCAGCTTAGGCTAAAGTGCAGTAGCGTGATCTCAGCTTACTGCAACCTCTGCATACTGGGTTCAAGTGATTCTCCTGCCTCAGCCTCCTGAGTAGCTGGGATTACAGGTGCATATCAACATGCCCAGCTAATTTTTGTATTTTTTATAGAGAGAGGGTTTCACCATGTTTCCCAGGCTGAACTCAGACTCCTGCGTTTAAGCGATCCTCCCAATAAAACCTCCCAAAGTGCTGGGATCACAGGCATGAGCCACTGCATCCAGCATGCACATCTCTTTCACTGGCTGTTTCTGAGACATATCCTTTACAGTGAATTAAAAATAGGATATTAACTCACCAGATGTGGTGGCTCACATCTGTAATCCCAGCACTTTGACTGAGGTGCGAAGATCACTTGGGCCCAGGAATTTGTGGCCAGCCTGGGCAACAAAACAAGATCCCATTGCTAAAAATAAATAACTAAAATAAGCCAGATGTGGTGCAGGCTGCAGTCTCAGCTACTAGGAAGAGGGAGGACCCCTTGGGCCCAGGCAGTTGAGGCTGCAGTGAGCTATGAGTGCAACACTGCACACCAGCCAGGGCAACAAAATGAGACCCTGTCTCTCAGAAAAAAAGAAAATAAACTGTTCTTCTGAGTTCTATAAGCTGTTCCAGCAGATGATTAAATCAAAGAAGGGGGTCATGAGAACCCCTGATTTGTAATAGGTTGGTCAGAAGTACAGGTGAAAACCTAATACTTGCCATTGGCATCTGAAGTGAGGGCAGTCTCATGGGACTAAACGCCTAACCTGCAGGGTCTGCACCAGCTCCAGGTAGTGTCAGAATAACATTGTGGGATACCCAGTTAATATCCAGAACACTGGAGAATTTGGTGTATAAGCTCCACACACACAGTCAGTCAGTCAAAGTGTGTGACGAGCGAAACACGGGCTTTTCTTTCACCTACCTGCCTAACTGCATAGGAGAAGCAATACATGGTGCTCATGAAAAGAGCAAGCATTAAAGTCAAACCAGTCCCTACATCTGACTCAGCTTAATATCCATGTGAGCTTGGGCAAATCACTCATTATCCCTAAGTCTGTATCACCTCATTCAGGAAATGGGGATAACTGGTACCTGCCTGTGGTTTTGTGAGAATTCATGAACGATTATGCTTGATGTTACTGTGATCATCACACCTATTCCAAACTATCTGACAGAAACAGTGATGGATGATAACATCACCAGATTAGAAACTGTAGTGAGGTCTCTCAGGCAAAATTCCATACAAGCAAATTACTGTCTCTCCAAAGCATTCCTGCCACACTTAATTCCCCATTCCCTGAACCAAATGCACCATCTTAATTGTCCAGGTCTTTAAAGTGCTGGTTGCCCTGACCATTCCCCATCCCTCCACATCCCCCTTCGCTCCCTACTCTCACACAACTCCTCATCTTTCAACAGCCAGTTTCACTGTCACCTTATCTGGAAGCTTCTCCTACTCTCCAGAAGAGCTTCCCATTGCACTTGACGCATGCACTATTGTTTGATCATTTTTGAGTTATTGTCCAAGTCTTTTTGTACCTGAATAACATGATGCCCAGTCTCCTCCTGAACTCTGATATCTTTCATGGTAGATCCAGCTGGAAGTGACAAAAAGACATTCTTTAAAAATAAATCAGGCAATCCCATAAAAGTTCTTAAAAAATATGTGAAAAGTAAACTAAATTCAAAAGCTTCTAGGAAAAACATAAGAGGGAAGTTGTTACTGGGAAATATGCTAAAGGGTTAATTTTTATTTTTACTTTTTTGAGAAACAATGTTGCTCTATTCCCTAGGCTGGACCGCAGTGGTACAATCACAGCTCATTGCAGCCTCAACCTCCAGAACTCCAGCAATCTTCCAACCTAATTTTTACTTTATTTAAGAAACACATTCTTACTGTTACCAAAGCTGGAGTACAGTGGTGTGATCACAGCTTACTGCAGCCTCGACCTCCTAGGCTCAAGTGATCCTCCAGTCTCAGACTCCCCAGTAGCTGGGATTACAGGTGTGGACCGCAATGTCCAGCTCACGTTATCTTTAATTTTTATTAGAGACAATGTGCTGCTATGTCGACGAGGCTGGTGGTGATCCTTTTCCCTCAAGCAGTTCTCCCACCTCAGCCTTCCAAAGTGCTGGGATTACAGGTGTGAGCTGCCACACCTGCTGAGGTTAATTTTTAATGACATAAGGAACTCAAAGCAAATATTAGAAGGAGCCTAAATGGCTATAGAGGCTGACTGGTCAACTGTGATATATCCATATAATAAAACATTAGCCAACCATAAAGAGGATTCAGATACATCAATAGAAATTGACACAGATGTCCACAAAATATGAAAATGAGAATTGATATTCAATCAGCCCATATGCATTTGAAGAATATGGCCAATTATTTCCTGAGATAAGATTATGGGTCTGAAGAGTAAAGGAAATTTTTCACTTCTTCATTTAAAAGTATTTACTATTTTTATACTTTAATAAAAGATTAAATATATAGATCATCTAATTAGTAAAAGACATGTTAACTCTACAAATAAACAGAAAAGACATGGACAGCCCAACCTTGGTGGCTGATGCTTATAATAGCAGCACTTTGGAAGGGGGCAGTCAGAGAATTGCTTGAGGCCAGGAATTCCAGACCAGACTGGGAAACATAGCAAGACCTTGCCTCTATTAAAAATCAAAAAAATTAGCCAGACATGGTGGCATGTGCCTATAGTCCCAGTTACTGAGGTGGAAGGATCGCCTGAGCCCAGGAGGTCAAGGCTGCAGTGAGTCGAGACTGCACTCCCATACTCAAGCCTGGGCTACAGAGTGAGACTTGGTCTCCAAAAAAAGGAGGGGGAGCAAAAAAGAAAGCTAGCTGGGTACAGTAGCTCACACCTCTAATCCCAGCATTTTGGGAGGCTGAGTCAGTTGGATCACGAGGTACAGAGTTCGAGACCAGCCTGACAAACATGGAAAAACCCTGTCTCTACTAAAAATACTTAGCCAGGTATGGTGGCACATGCCTGTAATTCCAGCTCTTCTGCAGACTGAGGCAATAGAATGGCTTGAATCCAAGTAAAAAAGGTTGCAGTCAGCAGAGATTGTGCCGTTGCACTCCAGCCTAGGCAACAAGAGTGAAACTTCATCTGAAAAAGAAAGAAAGAAAAAAAAAGAAAGCTAATAAGCTAATATAAGAAAATATATATTAAAATGTAACAAAAAGTATTAATGAGGTCTTTTATTTACTAAGAATAAGCAAACAATAAATAACTTGTTATTGTACCCTGTGCCAGCAAAGGTGCAGTGAAATGGGCATTTTCTTTTACTATTAGTGATGTTTAAATTGTATACAAGCCTTCCACCAGGGTAAAGCTTGGAAATTTTTAAAATAGAATACAGTGACTCACTGTACTGCCTCCTCCAACTCCTGGCCTCAAACGATCCTCCTACCTCAGCCTCCGAAAGTGCTGGAATTATAGGCCGACAGCCACCATGCCTGAAAGCTCGGCAGTTTACATCAAGTATAATAAGAATGCTAACGTCCTGTGACTCACAGTAATCTCATTTCTGGAAATATCATCTTCGGATACAATTCAACCTAAACAAAAGGTCATTGCACAAACAGTGAAAATCTAGGAGTAATATTTTTCTGTTTTAAAAACATATGGAACACTTCACAAATCTGCACGTCATTCTTGCACAGAGGCCATGCCAATCTCTCTATTGTTCCAACTTTAGGATATGTGCTACTGAAGCAAGCACGAGTAATTTAAGACAGAGCGGTTAGGCAAATAAGGAAGAATTATGGGGAATTTAAAAATCTATGGTATTTATAGGCACCTAGTAACAGCTCAGTAAATATTAGCTGCTACTTTTATTATTTTTATGGTCATTCCACTCAATTAAAAATTGTCATTAAAAATTTACCACTGTCTTGGAACATCATGTATTTAACAGCATAATTGTAAAAACAGATAGAGGCTGTGTGCGGTGGCTCACACTTGTAATCCCAGCACTTTGGGAGGTCAAGGCAGGTGGATCACCTGAGGTCAGGGGTTCAAGACTAGCCTGACCAACATGGAGAAACCCCATCTCTACTACAAAATACAAAATTAGTCAGGTGCGGTGGTGCCTGTAATCCTAGCTACTCAGGAAGCTGAGGCAGGAGAATCACTTGAACCTGGGAGGTGGAGGTTGTGGTGACCTGAGAGTGCACCATTGCTCTCCAGCCCGGGAGAAAAGAGCAAAGCTCCATCTCAAAAAGAAAAAAGTCCCAGCACAGTGACTCACGGCTGTAATTCCAGCACTTCGGGAGGTTGAGGCCAGGTAGATCACCTGAAGGCAGGAGTTCAAGACCATTATGTTCTGGCCAACATAATAAAACCCTGTCTCTACAAAAATACAAAAATTAGCTCAGCGTAATAGCAGGTACCTGTAATCTTAGCCTACTCTTAACCCTGGGAGGTGGAGGTTGCAGTGAGCTGAGATTGTGCCATTGCACTCCAGCCTAGGCAACAGAGCAAGACTGTCTCAAAAACCAAACAAAACAAAACAGATACAATTTGTCCCTTGGTATATGGGGAGATTGGTTCCAGCTGCCCAATATCCACATATACCAAAATCCATGCAAGCATCTGTAGTCCCAGCTACTTGTGAGGCTGAGGAAGGACTGCTTTAGCCCAGGAGGTTGAGGCTGCAGTGAGCCATAATTGCACCAGTGCACTCCAGTCTCAGCAACAGAGTGAGAAAGAAGGTTGACTTTTAAATATAATTTTTCAGTTCACTTGAGATGTTGATCAGAACTGTGGCATATGAAAATTCTTCATAGAATTATCTAATCAAATTAATACTAGAATTGGGACAGAAAATGTTTTGTTGACTCTTGATTCCTTCACTTGCTGTTACATAAACTATTGCCAGTGGGCACTTACCAACCAGAAGTGTTATCTCAGAGCTACTCACAATGAAAGGTGATGTCCAGGGCCCAGGTGTGTTCAGGTCTCCATGCCTTGGCTATGGATGAGTGGGACTTATATGTCCATCCATTTTCTATATTCCAGCTCTGGAAAACTTGGGTTTATCCATCTTGATAAGATGCACTTTAAATTTAACTTGTCAAGAACCACAAATGGAAGAAAGTTTATGAAACCACAGGATAGTACTTGTTCTCAAGGGACTCTTCAGCTTAGGTGCTTCTGTAAAAAAGCAACGACATTGTCAAAAACTCATCACAGGTCAGGTGAGATACCTCATATCTATAATCCCAGCCCACTGGGAGACTAATACAGGAGGATCCCGTGAGGCCAAGAGTTTTAAGACCAGCCTTGGCAACACAGTGAAACCTCATCTCTACAAAAAAAAAAAAAATTAAAAAATGAGCTGGGCATGGCAGCACATTCCTATAGTCCTAGCTACGCTGGAGGCTTAAGTGGGAGAAGAGTTGAACTCAGGAAGTGGAAGCTGCTGTGAGCAATGATCTCACCACTACACTCCAGCCTGGGTGACAGAGTGAGACCGTGTCTACACACACACACCCTCAGTCTGTCCAGCCTTTCCAGTAATGAAAAGGGTCTTTCGGTTACAGAAGAGGTGTGCTCTTTTGTAGGACAGGAAGGGATCAGCAAGCGTGTTCACAGCCTTTCCTCATCCTCTGCTTAGTTTCCCAAGAACCTTCAAGGGAGTCCCGAGGGAAAGGACATAAATCTTCTCTTATGGACAGAGGAGAAATATGCCTCCTTTGTCAATTAACAAATGGAACACCTGCCATGAAAACCAGGAAATTCTGCTAAGATGAACCACTCCCTACGACACTGACCTATGCCGCAAAAATGAGAAACTGGAGTTTGCGGACTAATAATATTAAAGGTCACATTCCAGATTGTAAAGATCTAACCAAAGTACAGCCTTTCCACAAGGCACTGCCAAATAACAGCTGGCTGTCTCCATGGGGCACTGCCGTATCTCTGGCTCTCATTTCCCCAAGAGATGCTCTATTCCAGCTTTCTCTTGCATTTTGTATTCTGTAGTTCCTGGGGTAAGACGTCACAACATAGCAAACTGCTGACTCAATGCTGACCCACAGATCTGACTTCAGATTCTAGCAGGACTCTTTCAGTTTAAGAAATTAAAGAGGAGAAAAATGGACCCAGCCTGGCACTGCCAGCTTAGCAGTCTGAAGATAGAAGCTGCTCAAAATGACTACAGTGCTTCTGACTTTCTGAGTCTGCCCTTGCTCCTAGGGCTCTTTGGATGACATTTATTTCTCCTTGTGGAAAAAATGGTTTTCTAGAATATAAAAAATTTAAGGAAGAAAAAAATATTAAAATATAATTTTGTCCTAAAGAGCACTCAAAAGTATACTCCCACTAGTGCTGGATCTATTTATCTCTCTCTCTCTTTTGTTTCTTCTGAGATTGGGTCTCTCTCTGTTACCAAGACTGGAGCACAGTGGTGAGATCACAGCTCACTGCAGCTTTCAACTCCTGGGCTCAAGCGATCCTCCCACTTCAGCCTCCCAAGTAGCTGGGATTACAGGTGCATGCCACCATGCCTAATTTTTTAAATTTTTTGTAGAGAAGGCCACTATGTGGCCTAGGCTGGTCTTGAACTCCTAGATCAAACTAATCCTCCTGCCTTGGCCCCACAAAGTGCTGGAATTATAGGCTTTAGCCACCACACCCAGTCTATTTACTTTAATATATATATATATATATACACACACACACAAACACACACATATATACACACAGACATATATACATACATATATATACATACATATATATATACACACACATATATATACACACATATATGCATACACACACACATACACACATATATATACATATACACATATATTAAATCGCCTCCTACCCACCCATCTGCAGGGAGAGCAAACACAGGTCTCAGCAGATCAGGCAACCTACATGAAGAAAGAAGGCTGGAGTAATGCCAGAGCCCAGGAGGAAGTGTAGCAAATGGCAAGGTATTCACTTCAAAGGTTTTTCAATATTGTGATGGTCAAACCAAACACAGAAACAGGAAGCCCAGTTCAGTCACCAGCAGCCAACACGGGATATTTGATCTACATGCTACAGGGCAAACTGTTTAGGATGAATGACCTTGTCTCCACCACCCCGTTCTTCAAGTCCCTCCTGCCCAGTAGTCCCTACACTCTGCTGACATGACCCACATTCACAGGACTCTCCTGACACCTTTGCTTGTTTAGTCTTTTTTCCCCAATGACTATTTTCTTTTTTGGATACAGAGTTCACCTCTGTCACACAGGCTTGAAGTAAAGTGAGGTGATTATGACTCACGGCAGATTCCATCTCCTGGGCTCAAGTGATCTTGCCTCCCAAGTAGTTGGGATTACAAGCATGTACCACCACACCTAGCTAAGTTTGTTATGATGATGATTATTTTGAGATGGAGTCTCACTATATCATCCAGGCTGGAGTGCAGTAGCACGATGTAGGCTTACTGCAACCTCCGCCTCCTGGGTTCAAGTAATTCTCCTGCCTCGGCCTCCTAAGTAGCTGCGATTACAGGCATGCACAAGCAAGCCCAGCTAATTTTTGTGTTTTAGTAGAGATGGGGTTTCACCATGTTGTCCAGGATGGTCTCAATCCGTTGACCTTGTGATCCGCCCGCCTCGGCTTCCCAAAGTGCTGGGATTACAGGCATGAGCTGCTGTGCCTGGCCAACCTTTTTTATTTATAAACTACTGAGCCTCATATGTATGCTTATAACAATGCAAAATAGACTAATATAGCAATCGTATGCCAACACTTACCAGACTGTGAGGAGCACAATGACAGAAGTACAGAGTGGGCCTGAAATGCTCCCAAGGGGCTTCTTGTCGCATCATAGAGAATGGGGTGAGACACCTCGCCTGAGGCTAAAGATGAGAGTCAAAGAGTGATGATGAGGGTTGGGGAGGGTTTCCTGAAGAAGGACACCAGTAAAGTCCCCCAAAGAAACTGACATTCCCTGTGGCTGGAGGGTAGGTATATGGGAAGGGTGGTGCAGGATAAAACTGGAAAGGTAAACCGAGGCCAGCTCTTACCAGGCCCTGTGGCCAAATTACTTTGATTTTATCTTAAAGGCAATGGGCAGTCACCAGCAGGTTTTAATCAAGAACCATTGTGATCCAAATTTGCCTTTTAGAAAAATTCCTCTAGCTTCAGTGAATAGGCTGAAGTCAGCAAGCCTAGAAGTCAGGAAGACAATTGGAGGCCTTCAAAATAAACCAGTACCAAAGAAAACAGGGCCAGGCATGGTGGCTGCTGCCTATAATATCAAAACTTTACAAGTCTAAGGTGGGTGGATGTCTTGAGCCCAGGAGATTAAGATCAGACTGAGCAATGTGGTAAAACCACATCTCTACAAAACACAAAGTATTAGTTGGGTGTGGTGGCTCATACCTGTGATCATACCTCAGCTACCCCAGAGGCTGAGGCAGGAGGATAGCTTAAGCCCGGGAGGTTGAGACTGCAGTGAGCCAAGATCACATCGCTGTGCTCCAGCCTGGGCAACAGAGGGAGACGGTCTCAAAAAGAAAAAGAATCCCATTCTTCACCTATTAGTGCCCAATGTTCTCATGAGAACCTTGGTGATGCAGTGAATTCAACTGTCACTGTAATTCAGCAATTCACACATTTAGGTTTGTGTTTGATTTTCAATATTATCAACCCTGTGGAAACAAGAAATAAGGAATTGTGTTTGGGCTATCAGGGAAGCTCTGGATCTCAGACCATGACTTATGCTAAGACTTGAGCTTTGTGTTTCTCTCTGAGTGCTCAAGTGCAGCAGTCCCATTTTTTTGGCACCAGGGACCAATATTATGGAAGACAATTTTTCCACAGGCTGGGGGCAGGGGGCAGTTTTGGAATATTTCAAGCACATCACATTTATTGTGTACTTTGTAATTATTACATTGTAGTATATAATAATGATATAACTCACCATAATGTACAATCAGTGGGAGTCCTGAACTTGTTTGTTTTCCTGCAACTAGATGGTCCCATCTGGGGGTGATGAAAGATAGTGACAGATTATCAGGCATCAGATTCTCATAAAGACACAGCAAGGTAGAACCCTTGCATGCACAGTTACACAATAGGGTTCCTGCTCCTATGAGAATCTAATGCTGCCACTGACCTGACATGAGGTGGAGATCAGGCGGCAAAGAGGGGAGTGGCCATAGATACAGATGAAGCTTTGCTCGCCCACCTGCTGCTCACCTCTTGCTGTGTGGCCAAGTACCGGCCTGTGATTCAGGGATTAGGTGCCCCTGCTCCACTGCATCCAAAAGGACCCTCTCCACAGCAGTCTTCATAGTGGTCAAGTACAGAAGCCACTTAGCTCCTAAGGCATGTGTCTCAGCTGGCATTTCATCACAATCAACAGGAAGTGATAGCTTGAAACATTATGAGGTCACTTCCTAAAAATCACCAGCATCCCATTTCCCATTGACAAGGAGCTCAACGCTGCCCCTTGGATAACCAAACCTATGCCCAGATCCCATTTGTGTGGGTCTTTCTCCCAGAACCCTTCCTAGCATCAGTTCTCTATTTGTCAGAGTCCAATCAAAAGACAAAAATCACCCAAAGTTTAAACTGGTACAATAATAAAATAAAAAAAATTAATTATTTAACAAGGGAACACCATATGAGAGATTGGCTACAAAAGGAAAGAGAACTCTAGAGAACATAGGGCTAGCAGAGGACAGACATGGTGGCTCACGCTTACAATTCCAGCAATTTGGGAAGCCAAGGCAGGAGGACTGCTTGAGGCCAGCAGTTTGAGACCAGCCTCAGAAACACAGTGAGACCCTGGCTCTACAAAAAAAAAGCCAGGTATGGTGGCACAGACTTGTAGTCCTAGTCACTTGGGAGGCTGAGGTGAAAAAATTGCTTCAGCCCAGAAGGTTAAGGCTGCGGTGAGCCATGATTTCACCACTGCACTTTAGACTGGGCAAAAGAGAGAAACCCTGCCTCAAAAAAACAAAGTATAGGACCAGCTGTTGCAAGGAGCAGTAACTTCCTACTGTCCCTACACTGAGATAGAGTGACCAAGGAAGGGATTTCCCCACTAAGGCTGAGATCCAGGACCCCTTGGAGAGGTCACAGTCATGGGTAATTCAACGGCAGAATTGCTGCATTACCACATGGTGGAACATGCTAGCAGATGCCCCCTGGAGTTTGCTGAAAATCCACCATCTAGGGTGCTAGCTTAACCTATTAGTAAACAGTTGTCTCACTAGAAAACCACCCAGGCAAATGCAGAGAAACTGCTGGTCACTGTGTGCTGCTAAGCACCATGCAGGGCAGGAGCCTGGTGCGGAAAAGCTCAGTGCCTGAAGATTTGCACACAACTAGAAAGAAAAGCCTCTTATAATGCCCCTCTAGTACCATGTACTGACAACATTTAATAATGCGCCAGTTGACAGAGGAAGCATTTAAGGAACCCACCTCTACGTTTGCAGAGCAGGCAATCAACAGTGAATTTGGAACTGAGGAGCAGTCATTGGATGAATAGCTGGTACATGACACATTTCCATCTACCAAAGGAGGAAGGGAAGAGAGAAAAATGAGAAGAAATACAGGCATGGTGGTTCACACCTGTAATTGCAGCAGTTTGAAAGGCCAAGGCAGGTGAATCACTTAGGTCCAGGAGTTTGAAACCAGCCTGGGTGACATAGAGAAACCTTGTCTCCACTAAAAATAAAAATAATTAGCTGAATATGGTGGCATGTGCTGTAGTCCCAACTTCTCAAGAGACTCCTGGGTTCAAGCAATTCATCTGCCCCAGCCTCCCAAGTGGTGGGGATTGTAAGTACACACCACCATGCTCAGCTAACTTTTGTATTTTTAGTAAAGACAGGATTTCACCATGTTGGTCACATCAGTCTCTAACTCCTGACCTCGTGATCTACCCACCTCAGCCTCCCAAAAGCTTCTGCTCTGTCTTTGCCCCCTTAATCTAAGAAAACTAAGCTAAAATAAATTTTGTAACCAAACCAAAATGAAGCTAAGAGGTGTGGCTACTATACTCAAAAGACTTGAAATTCTCTTCACCAAAAAATAACTATCTGGAAGCCAAGAATGACTATCATCTGGAAGTCAGCATCCTCAGAGTACATTTCAGAGGCAAACTAGAATATGTCAGTGTAAACTATGAAAGTCCAGAGCCTTTGTTTGAGTAAAACTAGGTGCAGCAAAACCATGGGCTTCATGCATGCCTGGTATTGTAAAAGAGGCCACAGAAGTAGAATTAAATATGACACCATCGGCTGGGCGCAGTGGCTCACACTTGTGATCCCAACACTTTGTGAGGCCGAAATGGGCAGATCGTTTGAGGTCAGGAGTTTGAGAGCAGCCTGGCCAATATAGTAAAACCTCATCTCTACTAAAAATATAAAAATTAGCCAGGCATAATGGCAGGTGCCTGTGATCCCAGCTACTTGGGAGGCTGAGGCAGGAGAATCACTTGAATCAAGGAGGCAAAGTTTGCAGTGAGCTGAGATCACACCACTACATTCCAACCTGGGCAACAGAACAAAATTCCATCTGCAAAGTTTCTTCTAAACTCAATTTAGGGCACCATGTGCCACAAACCAGATAGCAAGAAATTAAATAAATTTTAGCCTTTTTCATGCCATCCAATTACATCTTGGTCAGTTCACAAACATGTTTCGGCAAATGCTGGAGGAGTTTTTCTCTTTAGGAGTCCTCTCTCACTTTACCCTGCTTAACAGAAGACTTCACACACAAAGAGAATGGAGACAGCCCCACTTCAGGACATGCTACACGAAGAGAACTGACTGTCCCAAAGAGAGGGCTCCACACCCCTCTGACAACTCCACAATAGACCAGCTACACACAAATGCCTGAAGTAAGGAAGTCCATTAAGAAAATGAACAGTTGGTGAGATCAAGACTTCTGAACCAAAGGGCCTGCAGCTGGTCTGATGATTCATCAAAAAGTCTGAACTTAAATGGAGACATATGGGACTGTGACATGTAATAAAAGAACTGAAGCAGCAAAGTGTCTTGACTTGTGTTTCCTTTCCACTGTATACAGCTCCAATGAATAGAGAAGTGAGCATGCCTCTGGTACTCCTGACACATCTGGGATAGTTCCCATCCACAGTGGTCAACCTTTGGGATTATCCATACATTGCAGGGTCATTGTCCATCTATGCTAACCTAGAAATGTCCAGATAAAAGCTTCTGTTTAGAGACTGGAGAGAAAAATGTCAAACCTGAAAGCCCATGAACTGTCTCAGCCAGGGGGAACACATGAAGAAACACTACAGAATCTGACATCAGAAGCCTAATTTCAGGTTGACCTCTGAAGCTTTACGATTGTGAGTAATCAGCTTACTTTCTCTAGGCTCTGTTATTCTCACATCAAAAATAGACAAGCAGACTGAATAGTCTCCCAGATCAATTCCAATCTTATCCTCTGGCTTAATGATTAAAGAATGATACTGAGTAATCAGGTTGAAACTGTGGCTTAACCCCAACAGGAGCCTGCTGTAATTATGCTAAGCAAAACTAGTCCACATAGACAGAGCCATTCTGACCACAACCCTCCCTGTGCCAGCTATCATACAGATATGCACCACTGGTATGAGAAGTCCTTCCACAGGAGACTGACTGATTCAATAATAGGCTGATTTATTCATTCAAACAACAAATATTTACTGAGCACCTTCTAGGGATTTAGGGTTACAACAGAACAGAACAGACAAAATCCCTTCCCTTACTTACCTTTTAGTGAAGGAGGAGGGGGGTCAGACATCAAATAGGAAATACCATTAAGGATATATTTTATGTAGGGCAATGCTGGGATTCACTCAGGGTGGCTGGAAAAATATTAAAGGAAATATTCAGGAAGTATAGAATGCAGTATCAAACGTTTGGGAAGCCGAAAAGTTTTAATGAGCCAGGCTGAAGACAGCCAGTTCTTACATTGGAGCTTTAAGTCATAAGGTGAAGATTAACATGAGAAAAGCTTCCCTGGTTGAGTCTGTTTACCCCACATTCCTTTTTCTCTACTGTGTTTACTCATGTAAACTTCATGCTAGCTGCTCCTCTAAGGGGGAGGTTGAAAAAGAATTACTTCTTAATGGTGTTTATTCTGGACCTCAGAACCACAAGTTTTCATCATTCTTAAAACCACTCTTTCAACCATGTTAATTATCCACAAGCAGGTTAACTTAAAACCTCTGTTACTACTTCTATACCGAATAAATGCAAGAATGAACAAGGAGTCAATTAGCTACAATCACTCTCTAAAAGTTGATAACACCCTAGCCCAACTCTATGTGCCTATATGTAAGGGCATATTTTATTCATCTGATACTTATACTTAATAAATGTTTGTTTAGTAAGAGAAACTAAATGTGAATTGTAAGTATAAACAAGTCATGATGAGAGGGAAACAAAAGGCCCAAATTAATCAAATTCATCTCTTCTTAGGGAAGACACTGAATTTGTGTCTGCAGATTATCATCTTACCTTTTAACAACAAATGTAATTTGATTGCCCACTTGAATGATGTTTTCCAGCCCTGGGATTCCCTATCATGAGGGACTTCTGAAAGGAATGTCTTCCAGTAGTTCTTCCACACACATATCATTCGCATGTCCTTCAAATTTTTGGTCTTAAAAACCATCTTCAAAGATCTTCAAAGATTAAACTTTGTTTTTCAATATCCTTAAACAGAGGAGAAAAAAAGAAAATCATTATAGACAATGAGGAACATAACCTAAGCTGGTGTGCAGTGGCATGATCTTGATTCCTTGCAATCTCTGCCTCTCGGGTTCAAGCAATTCTCCTGCCTCAGTCTCCCAAGTAGCTGAGATTACAGGTGCCGACCAGCATGCCCGTCTAATTTTTGTATATTTTTAGTAGAGACAGGGCTTAACTGTGTTGGCCAGGCTGGTCTCACACTCCTGACCTCAGCTGATCCACCCACCTTGGCCTCCCAAAGTGCTAAGATTACAGGCATGAGCCAATGTGCCCAGTCATAAACACTATTTGGAAGCAGCTTTATGCTGCTATCTGCCCGTGACTGTAATAACCGTCCTCCATTGGCTGCCTTACAGTAGTGCATTTCAGGCTATGCTTTCATCTGCACTGCAGCCATGAGATCATGAGCCTTCAACATCGTGAGCATGCTATTTAATAAGAATTAACTTGCCACAAAGAATTCAGGGAATGGAAATTCGCTCTTGTTACCCAGGCTGGAGTGCAGTGGCGCGATCTTGGCTCACTGCAACCTCCACCTCCTGAGTTCAGGCAATTCTCCTGCCTCAGCCTCCTGAGTAGCTGGGATTACCAGCACGCGCCACCATGCCCAGCTAATTTTTTGTATTTTTAATGAGATGGGGTTTCACCTTGTTGACCAGGATGGTCTCGATCTCTTGACCTCGTGATCCACCCGCCTCGGCCTCCCAAAGTACTGGGATTACAGGCTTGAGCCACCACGCCCGGCCTCCTTAGCCTTCTTACAACCCAGGAATGTCTTTCTCAAGGACCCAGGGGAACCATTCTCTGAAATTTCATGACAAAAGGAAATAGCACCCCTTTCTTCCATGTTCTGTGGGATGTGCCTAACTTTGGTGGGCATCTTGCTCCACGCTGCAGGACTACTTCCTAAGGATGTTTACTCTTCTTTTGCATAAAGCCAATCAGCAAAGACAGATGACCCATGAACCCCCTCACCCTGGCCCTTACAGGATTCAGATGGCCTCTTGTCCCCAGTGCTTTTACACTATCTCACTCAGCCCTCGAAAACTCCACCACCCTCTGCTTCCATGAAGTTGAGTTCCAACTTTGTTCTAGTCTCTCTCCTCTATTGCAAATAGCCCGTTTCCTTCTCTCACAAGAATCTTTTCAAGTTAAAGTGTCTCCTTACATCATTCTGTCTTGGATTTTTCTTCACAGGAAAGGTTCCTTCAAATATGCCCTCCATTCCACTGCATCTCCCATTCACTCCTTGATCTTCTAGAGTGTGACTCTGGGAATGTCTTCCTCCTGAGCATCCTTAAATCCTTCCTGGAACAAGGTATCAGTTTTGTAGCCAGATAGATCCAGGTTGGAAAACCAATTCAGCTACTTACTAAGTGGCAATTTACCTTCTGCAAGTCCCTGTTTCCATCATTTAGAAAATAGGAATCCCTCCCTCTCAGGAATGGCAGCTATTTTAAGTCAAGAAACAAATGTATGGACTCAGTCAGGCATGATGCTCCCTACTTAAATGATAATGGCTCAGATTTACTTAGTTCTTCGGTGTGCAGGTCTCAGCAGTTTACATGCATGATCTCGTTTAATTTCTCAATACAATCCCATCATGTAGTTACTACTATCACCTCCATTTTATAAACAAGAAAACGGAGGCTGACAAAAAGAGGTCAAGTGCCTTGTCCAATCTCATAACTGAGAAGCAGTGGAACTCATATTCAAAGCCAAATCTGTATGGAACTCACCTGCTCTACGTCACCTCCATGGTAAAGGTTAAACTCACCTGTGCCCCTCCCAACTCACTGGCTCTGTCTCCCACTCATAACCGCCCACTCACTCATGACCCACTGCAATTGCTTGTGCTGTTCTCTTCACAACATGAATGCTTGCTTCCTCCTAACCCTCCTCCACACACATTTCAGCAGGTTAACATCAAGTTGTAGCTTAAAAAATCCATTTTCTATGGAGTTTTTTCTGATCCTTTCAGAGACTCTTCTTTCTCTTCTCAGAGATCTTTGCATATATTCCCATATATGCTTCCATCACAGAATTTATTTTTATTCTTATGATGAAGAGTGTGCGATGATCTTAAGGCCTAGCAAAGCTGAGGGATATATACAGGAGGGCCAAGGAAGAACATGAAAGGAATTTAAAATAGAATCAGAAGGTAAATAGATTTGCTGAATCACAAAGGTTTAATGATAAATTTATGTGCATGAGGAATGAAAACATGATAACAGGATGGGTTTACAGTCTTGCAGGCTCAAATCAACTGTGACAATCAGGTAATGTGCAACCTGAATCCTAAGAAGCGTATGGCTTCAAGTCTCCATGGGGACAGCCCCTATAAATGGAGATTCAGTTCATCCCTCCTTATGAAGAGAGGATATGAGTGACCCAGATCTTATGCCCAGCTCCTAGTTCCTGGTTATATGCAATTTCCATACACTGAGAGGGTGATACTTCTAGCTTAGGATGGCCAAATCATTTCCTTAGTGCTATGGTTTGAATGTTTGTGTCCTCCAAAATTCATGCTGAATTTAGTCCCCAATGCAACAGTATTAAGGGGGAGTGGTCTTTAGGAGGTGATTAGGTTATGAGGGCTTGCTTTCATATATGGGACTGGTGCTCTTATAAAGAGGCTGAAGAGAGTGCCCTAGTCCCTTTTTGTCCTTCTACCCATGTCCACCGTATGAGGACACAGCCTGAAGGCACCATCTTAGAAGCAGAAAGAATAGCCCTCACCAACCACCAAACCCACTGGTGCCTTGATTTTGAACTTTCCAGCCTCCAGAGCTGTGAGAAATATACCTCTGCTATTTACAGATTACCCATGCTAACGTATTTTGTTAAACAAACAGGAGGTATAAACTAATAAAGTTAGAATAAGGTCTTCAAGCTCTTAAAGACTTAAAATTAAGTATAGAGAATGTAGAGATTCAAACCCTAGCATGCATTTAAACATTCAAGCTGGCATGAGTCCTATTATTGAGACTTCATTGCTTTCAAAGAATATGTGGCAATTTTCGATTCATGCAAATCACTATAAAAGTAGAACACAGAATGAGGGCTTAAGACAAAAGAAGGGCAAGATCGGAGAACGAATCCAAGATGGCCAATCGCTAACATCCCGGGATTGCAGCTCTCAGGGAAGGCGCAGAGAACTAGAGGACGCCTCACTTTCAGACAAAGTCTGGTCGCTCACGGAGAAGAAGATCCCCCAGTGGTGGAAACACACGAGTCGCCAGCAGAGTAAATGGGACCGGTTCCCCTTCTGACTGAGGTTTGGAGCCCTGGGAAGGCAGAGTCGCCTACTACGGAAACAAGAAGGAAGCCAGACAGGAGAATCCTGGGCAGAAAAGCACCATCAGTTTTAACGCCGCTGCTCTGGCCCTGGGAACTAACAACCTGGACGTCCACTCAAGAGACCTAATCTGAAAGTTGGTAATTTCAAAGACGACAGGAGGATAAATTTACAATGACGGGAAGAAACCAGCGTAAAAAAGCTGAGAATACTCAAAGTCAGAACACCTCTCCCTCTAAAGATGATCACAGTTCCACATCAACAATGGAACAAGGCTTGATGGAGAACGAGCGCCTCCTGATGACAGAATCACTCTTCAAGGAATGGATAATAACAAACTTCGGTGAGTTAAAAGACCATGTTGTAGCCCAACGTAAAGAAACTAGGAACTTTGAAAAAAGGTTTGATGAAATCCTATTGAGAATAGACAACTTAGAGAGGAGTATGAGTGAATTAATGGAACTGAAGAATACAATACAGGAACTCCGAGAAGTATGCACAGATTTAAACACTCGAATTGTTCAAGCAGAAGAAGGGATATCAGAGGTCAAAATCCAACTTAATGAAATAAAACGTGAAGAAAAGATTAGAGAAAAAAGGATAAAAAGGAATGAGCAAAGTCTCCAAGAAATGTGGGACTATGTGAAAAGACCAAATTTACGTTTGATAGGTGTACCTGAATGCGACGGAGAGAATGAATCCAAGCTGGAAAATACCCTTCAGGATATTATTCAGGAAAATTTTCCTAAACTAGCAAAGCAGGTCAACATTCAACCCCAGGTAATACAGAGAATACCACAAAGATATTCCTCAAGAAGAGCAACCCCAAGGCACATCATCGTTAGATTCACCAGGGTTGAAACGAAGGAGAGGATACTAAGGGCAGCCAGAGAGAAAGTCAGATTACCCACAAAGGCAAGCCTATCAGACTTACAGCAGATCTCTTGGCAGAAACTCTACAGGCCAGAAGAGAGTGGGGGCCAATATTCAACATCCTCAAAGAACAGAACCTTCAGCCCAGAATTTCATATCCAGCCAAACTAAGCTTCACAACTGAAGGAAAAATAAAATCTTTTATGAATAAGCAAGAACTCAGAGATTTTATTACCACCAGGCCTGCTTTACAAGAGCTTCTGAAAGAAGCATTACACACAGAAAGAAACAACCAGTATTAGCCTTTCTAAAAATACACCAAAAAGTAAAGAGCGCCAACATAAAGAAGAAATTACACCAACAAATGGATAAAACAGCCAGTCAACATCAAATGGCAGTAACCCTAAATTTAAATTGACTGAATTCCCAATCAAAAGACACAGCCAAAACCCAACAGCATGTTACATCCAGACCTGTTTCACATGCAAGGATACACAAAGACTCAAAACAAAGGCATGGAGAAAGATTTACCAACCAAATGGAGAGCAAAAATAAATAATAAATAAATAAAAAGCAGGAGTTGCAATTCTTGTATCGGATAAAATAGATTTTAAAGCAACAAAGATATAGTGGTAAAAGGATCAATGCAACAACAAGAGCTAACGATCCTAACACCCAGATAGGAGACTTAGATTCAATGAGACAGAAAATTAATAAGGATATCAAGGACTCGAACTCAGATCCAGAACAAGTAAACTTAATAAATATTTATAGAGCTCTCCACTTCAAATACACAAAATATACATTCTTGTCAATACCACATCACACCTACCCATTAGTTTAAATGAAACATTGATTGGCCATTATTAATACCCAATTTTTTTTAAAAATAAAGCAATATTTCCATTTACTCTCCCTCTTTCTCTTCCTCTTTCTTCCTCTCCTTTACTTATTTTTTTTTCTTTCCTTCTCAGTATCAGATCAAGGTTCCTAGTTGTAGCCACGAGCACAGGATGTTGGCACTACATGAGCCATTCTATGTACAGATTTTCACAGAAATAAATCTAGGGCAGGGAAGCACAAGTCATTACACTTGCCAGGGGAGGCTTAACAGGAGGGTTTAGGAATAAAATCAGGGCTAAAGCAGAGCTAGTCCATTCCTCAGTTCTCTCAGGTCCCTATTTTCTAAGCATGGGCATTCTGACTCAATTTTAACTTTGAATTTAGGAGATAACACAGCATTTGTTCCTCACCCATTAAAAAAAAAAACCCAATTACCTCTTTTTGCTCTAGCTATACTCAACCTGGGTTGACTAATGTTCACTGTAGAGCTAGAAAACTAAACCCATCTTGTTTTTAGGAAAAGACAATGAACTGTAAAGTTTGCAGAGATCTTGGATTATTCAAAAGCACATAATGGAATCCATCTGCACCTACAGCAGCATCAATCCCTCATCCTACTCACCTGAAAGTCATCAATTCTTTTACGAGCTCTTTTTTTTTTCTTTTTCTTTTTCGATTCCTCAAGGCCTTAGAAATAGAAATTCCAATTGATCCAGCAATCCCATTACTGGGTATATATCCAAAGGACTATAACTCGTTCTACTATAAGGACACATGCACATGAATGTTCATTGCAGCACTGTTTACATTAGCAAAGACCTGGAACCAACCCAAATGCCCATCGATAATAGACTGGCTTGGGAAAATGTGGCACATTACCAGAGTTCTATAAGCCAGTTTGCAAACCAAATTCAAAACCCACGCTTGCCACCGTATCAGCATATTCTCCATTATAAATGTAAGAGACCCTTTAGTGTAAGATAAACTGAAGTGTCTGACCACCAGTTATCCTGCCTGATCTTTCAAAACCACAGAAGGGACATCACAGAAATGGCCTCAGCTCTCCAGACACAGCTGGTCTGAAAAAAGTATGAGAGCTGCTGACTTCCACGTGTTCCCTAAGCACTGTTTTCTCGTATTCTCTACACTTTAGCTTTTAGGTAGCATTCAGGGGACAACCTGGCTGCTGCTTGTCAATATATGGTCCATAGGTCTTCAAAGGTAGATACGGTATAGTATTTGGTATAGTATTATCACTTTATTTTGCATCTTCCCTAGCAGCAAATGCACAGGAACATGAGATGAGGTCTGAGAACTGACTACCGGATGTGGCAGCATGGACACTGGGTGCCTTGAAAAGAGGTTTAGGAGAGAAATGGGAATAAAAGTCTGACTGGAATAGGTTAAGGAAAGGATGAGAAAACTGACAACAGTTTCTTCAGGATGTGAGGAGGTGTTAGGATGTGAAGGGACACAACAGCAAAGTAGCTAAAAGGGTGATGGGAGGAACAGAGGCTTTGGCAGAGGAGCTATTAGGCATTTTTGCCTGTTGATGGGAATGATCCAGCAGAGAAAGAAACATTGTTAATGATGGGCAGGTGTGGAGGAGCCGCCCCCTGGAGTAGGGCAGCTGGATGAGTTTCAGTGCTAGCAGAGGGGTTGACCACAAACAGCAAGAATGGCAAACAGACAAGAGCAGGGAAACAAGCACGCAGGGCAAACCAAAATCAGTCTAACTTCTTGTCTGCCCAGGTGGATGCTTTCCACACATACACTCGCTCGCTCCACTGTCTCCCTTGTTGTCCATGGTTCAAATGGACTTACTTCAAATATTCTTGCTATCCATCTGGAAGAGAAATGGATATATAGCAATGTGATAAGCATCTCTCTACCCAAAATTTAAGCTAGCCTGTAAGAACCACAGGAAGACAGACTGCTGTAGAACGGTCTGAATGGTGGTTTTCTGTTGGTGGGTTCGTTTTCAAGAAAATAACCAACATCCTGGCACCTTGACCTCTGAGGCTACCTCTGCTTTTCAGTCCTTCTCCTCTCAAGCCAACTCAGCTGGCTGCTGTAACTGCTAGCACACCTTGTTCTCCTCCAAAGAAACAGCAGATCTTAAACTTGAAATGAAACCAAGAAACAGCAAAACAGAGAAACTCCAATATTCAACCAATCTGTGAAATGCAATCTAATCTAAACCTCAGATATTCAAATATGCTGCCTTTACAGACACAGGGCAAGCTAAATGGTATGTAAAATATAAAATGTAACCCCTAAAAGCTGGGGCCCTTGAGGAAAAAAAAAATCCAAAAGCAAGGAGAAACCTAAAATCTATTATTTAAATCAGGATGACAATATAAACCCAGGACAAGAAAGGCCACCTATCTTGATTACTGCCGTCTCTTCACTGCTAATGAAAACTGAAGGGCTTCTTAAAGTCTACGTGAGCTTCCTCATGCCAGTGGGTTTTTCTTTTCTTTCCTTTTTTTTTTTTTATTCCATAGACAGGGTCTCACTATGTTGTCCAGGCTGGATTCAAACTCCTGAATTCAAGTGATCCTCCCACCTCAGCCTCCCAAGTAGCTGGGACTACAGGTGTGCACCACTGTGCCAGTAGTAGTTTTAAACTAGCACCTGAGGGACACTGGGAATTTGCTGGTGCCCCATGGAATCCTGGGGGCCAAGAGTTTGAGAGTGTATGTGCTGAGTATCAGCCATCACTGCAACTAGACCAGTTCTTTTACTGGATTTACCCAGCAGGCCGTGATGTAAAAATTCAGTGAACACAATGTTCCACAGCTATTTAAAAAGCTAGAAAACCATCATTCTAATGCATAGTATAAATAAATGAATAAAGAAGCTGGCTAGAATTTCTCCAGCAACATGTAAGCTTCAGATTCCTCAATGGCAGAAAAAGACAATTTACTAGGCTAACATAGCTTAATAAAAACACTCTTGGCCGGGTGCGGTGGCTCAAGCCTGTAATCCCAGCACTTTGGGAGGCCGAGGCGGGTGGATCACGAGGTCAACAGATTGAGACCATCCTGGTCAACATGGTGAAACCCCGTCTCTACTAAAAATACAAAAAAGTTAGCTGGGCATGGTGGCGTGTGCCTGTAATCCCAGCTACTCAGGAGGCTGAGGCAGGAGAATTGCCTGAACCCAGGAGGCGGATGTTGTGGTGAACCGAGATCGCGCCTTTGCACTCCAGCCTGGGTAACAAGAGGGAAACTCCGTCTCAAAAAAAAAAAACCAAAAAACTCCTTACAAATCTATAACTCTCTGTGCCATCATTCTATGCTAACAGATCACTTCAGGTCTCTCTTCTAGTGTCCTCGGGAGGCCAAGTCATGGGCATACATATGCCAACTCTAACTCAGACTCAGTTGTATGTTCAACCATGAAAGTACCTCATTGCAATCTGGCTTACATCCCTTTCACGGCTCTGAAGCCATGGTCACAAATGGTCATTTGTAGACATTTTTGGGTCCTTTATCTTATTTGATTTCTGCAAGACTTCATTCTACCAATATTAACAGAGTGCCTACTGTGTACCAGGCATTGTTCCAGGGGCTTGAGATACATGTGAATGAACGGCAATGTTTCCCTTCTTAAAACATCGATTCCTCCTTAAAGCACTCACTTCCCTTTGGTACCTAGAATTTCAAACTCTCATTTCCCACCTAAATGTCTGATCACTTTTTTTCAGCCTTCTTGTAAGTTTCTTACTCTGTGGCCTCCTCTTCCACTCACTCCATATACTCTCCTTACTTTATAGATAGCTGTAAGTATTAAAGGAGACAAGTAAATAGGCTGAAAGGTACAACACTCAATAAATACTGTTTTATCATGCTGCATTCTAATGGTCTATTTTTCTGGTACCCCGTTAGACCATAAGATTTTTGAGTGTTTATTGTAACATTCTGAGTACCTAATACATTAAGATATAGTAGGCATTCAATACTTGTTGAATGAACGAATGAAAATCCAAATGAAGATCAGTTTATGACACAATGGATGTGACAGTCCCCTTAACCAGACAACTAGGGTGTGACATGATAAGTATAAGATTTGATTATTTTGAGAGGGTTTTGCTCTGTCGCCTAGGCTGGAGTGCAGTGGCACAATCTCAGCCTACTATAGCCCTGAACTCCCAAGCTCAAGCAGTCCTCTTGCATCCCCCACTCCACCCCAGTAGCTGGGACTATAGGCATATGCCCACCACATCCATCTAATTTGGTATTTTTTGTGGAAATGGGGTTTTGCTATTGCCCAGGGTGGTCTTGAACTCCTGAGCTCAAGCAATAGGCCCACCTTAGCCTCCCAAAGTGCTGGGATTACAGGCATAAGCCACCACTCCCAGCCAAGTCCAAGATATTTAACCCACAAAGGGAAGAAGTGAACTAAGAAGCAAGGAAAGAAGAAAAGGCAACCACAAATCCAAGTCTGTATTAGCCTGACTCCCTTCCCCAGTAGCATGATAAGGTTGATTTAATAATGAGTAACATTAAACACAGGGGAATCTGACTGCCTCTTATGTATGTGCCAAGCAAGTGATTTCTCCAAAATTAAACTCAATGGTTTTAAATTGGAAAAAGTGAAGGACTGCAGATTTAATCTCCCAACACATTTTTCATACTGGCGTTAATCTATTTCTGCTTCTTCCTTGAGCTAATGGCATAATACTAGGATAGGTGGAATCTAGTCCTTCACACACCCTATAACCCTAAGGGAGAACATTAAGAACAAGTGTGTGGAGTTAGCATTTCCAGAAGTCGCACAAAAGGAGCACTCTACTTACCAATAGGCAAAACGTGGTATGGGGTACAGGAGGAATAATCTGTGAGTCACAGCATAGATGTACTTCACCAGCGCAAAGAGGAGGTACGATTTGGCCTACAAAAAGACAGCTCTTTCAGCTGCATACTTCTCACAAATTTTCCTTTATAACAAAATAGCATTTTTCTCATAAAAAAGGAAACATATATTTACTGTTAGCACAAAGAAACATATATTTACAGATTAGCACAAAGAAAAATCACCCATAATCCCATTATGAAAGACAATTAATATATTTGATCTATATCCTTCTCATCCCCTTATGTGCACACATTATTTTTGTTTTTATAAACACACAATCCATTCTATGCTGTAATGACTTTTCACTTCACACCATATCACAATTGTCTTTCCACATCATTAAATATATTATTACATATTTCATGACTGCACAATTACAATCCATGTAATCCCAATTATTTTGTCAATTGCCAGTTGAGATATTTGCTATTAAAAATTTTTTATAAAATAATGCTTTATTGAACATTCTTATAATAAATATTTGTACTTATCATGATTATGCATTTAGAATATATTTGTAGAAGTGGAACTGGCTCAATGTAGACTTTGAAATTTTAAGGCTTTTACTGAATACTTCTAAACTGCTTTTCAAAATGGTTCTATCAATTTATAGAAAATGTTAGAATGCCCCCTCCATCCAAAATGAGTTGTCATAATAAAACAAAAATTTTGCCAATCTGTTATGTTAAAAGTATCATATGTTTTAATTATTATGTTTTTAATATGAGAGGTTATTTCTTCATGTATTTTTGGTCATTTATATATTTATCCTTTCTTTCCTCCTGGAGTCCCTGTCTATACAAATAATTTGTAAGAATTCTCTATATTTTAGTGATATTGTTGGAAATACCTTTTATTGATTGTATTTTACCTTTAGTGTTATTTACAGTGTTTTGTGCACATAAAATTTTAATAGTTTAATTCAACCAAAACTACTGATTTTCTTTATGGCTTGGTTTCATATTTAGAAAATTCCTCTGCAGTGACATAAATTTCCACATATTTTGTCTAAAGCTTATTAAAAAAACTTTTTTACTATAAAGTTCCTTCTGTGACATATTTTTGTACATGACATAAGATAAACATGTAATTATATTTTTCCCAAAATGTAAGCCAATTGCTTCAATGCTATTTACAGAATCATTTACTCTACTGAATCTTTCCCTATACCAAAACGTCACCCTTATCACATACTATGTCCTTACATACAATGGGACTGTTTCTGGACTTTCTGCTCTATTTCATTAATCTGAATAGTTCTGTACAATTTTAACCTAGCATTAATAAGTGCCATTGCTTATAATATATTTTAATAGTTCTTCACCCATCTCCTAATTCACTTGTTTCATGAAATAAAATCTATGACAACCAAGAGCTGAGTGAAGTTAATTCAGTGAGAACCTCATTATCATGACATACTTTTTTTTTTTGAGACAGAGGGACACTGTGGCAGGCGCCAGGCTGGAGTGCAGTGGCGCACTCTCGGCTCACTGCAACCTCCACCCCCCGTATTCTAACAATTCTCCTGCCTCAGCCTCCTGAGTAGCTGGGACTACAGGCGTGTGCCACCACGCCCGCACATTTTTTTGTATTTTTAGTGGAGACAGGGTTTCACTGTGTTGGCCAGGATGGTCTCAATCTCTTCACCTCGTGATCCGCCCGTCTCGGCCTCCTAAAGTGCTGGGTTTACAGGCGTGAGCCACCGCGCCCGGCCTATTCTGACATACTTTACTAAAAAACAAGAAACTGGGCGGGCGCGGTGCCTCAAGCCTGTAATCCCAGCACTTTGGGAGGCCGAGGCGGGTGGATCACGAGGTCAACAGATCGAGACCATCTTGGTCAACATGGTGAAACCCCGTCTTTACTAAAAATACAAAAAAAGTAGCTGGGCATGGTGGAGCATGCCTGTAATCCCAGCTACGCAGGAGGCTGAGGCAGGAGAATTGCCTGAACCCAGGAGGCGGAGGTTGCGGTGAGCCGAGATCGCGCCATTGCACTCCAGCCTGGGTAACCAGAGCGAAACTCCGTCTCAAAAAAACAAACAAACAAGAAACTGTCAGCTAGGGAAAATATCAGACAAAGGTTTTAAAGTACATTTCTACAAATTCCAAAAGGATTTGTAAGGATCATTACAGAGCATATAATACATGCTACGCCAAGAACAACTTGAATTTTTACGATGACTAACAAAACTAGTACGTACCATGGACGGGCACAGTGGTTCACGCCTATAATCCCAGCACTTTGGGAGACCAAGGTGGGTGGATCACAACGTCAAGAGATCGAGACCATCATGGTCAACATGGTGAAACCCCGTCTCTACTAAAAATACAAAAAATTAGCTGGGCATGGTGGCGTGTGCCTGTAATCCCAGCTGCTCAGGAGGCTGAGGCAGGAGAATTGCCTGAACCCAGGAGGCGGAGGTTGCGGTGAGCCGAGGTCGCGCCATTGCACTAAAGCCTGGGTAACCAGAGCGAAACTCCGTCTCAAAAAAAAGAAAAAAAAACTGGTACTATGGGTAAACTAATTCTACATAATAGGTTTCCTCTTCAGCTGTTCTGAAGCACTTTGTGTTCCATTAAGTGCAACTGGAAGACTAGTTTAAGTGCCCTTGCTCAAAGAGAAAGATACACTGAAGCCTGCATCCCTCCCAGCTTAGATTTCATGGCCCAGCATTAGTTACTTCCTCTGCAAATATCCTCAGCAAAACCTTGTCTCCCAGGCCTGTAATCACTAAAATTGCCAAGCAAAATCCTTACTCTTGTTAACCCAAACATCTGCCTTCTCTGAGCCTGAAACCCCAGAAGGACAAAATTATAGAAGAAATGGAATTGAACGAATTGACTTCTCCTTATAGTTTTTCTCAGTAATTTCAAATAAAACACGCCGTTCGGCTTGGCAGCCCTACATGTTCTCCTAGGAAAAGCTCTTTGCTATTCTCCCAGGGGATACTTTGTATCTTCTCTGTCCTCAGCTTTTCCGCACACGTTTTTTGACCCACTCCATCCTGCCTTTTAGCTAACCTCAAATTGTAACAGGAAAAGATACTCCCTTTTTTTAATTTCTTTTTTTCTTTTTTCTTTTTTTTTGAGACGTAGTTTCGCTCTTGTTACCCAGGCTGGAGTGCAATGGCGCGGCGATCTCGGCTCACCGCAACCTCTGCCTCCTGGGTTCAGGCAATTCTCCTGCCTCAGCCTCCTGAGTAGCTGGGACTGCAGGCACGCGCCACCATACCCAGCTAATTTTTTGTATTTTTAGTAGAGATGGGGTTTCACCATGTTGACCAGGATGGTCTCGATCTCTCGACCTGGTGACCCACCTGCCTCAGCCTCCCAAAGTGCTGGGATTAGAGGGGTGAGCCACCGAGCCCGGCTGGATACTCCCTTCAATTCTCACATCCAAACCTACCTGCATCTGCATATATCCTGAACTATTTTCCTCATTAAAATTGAAGAAAACGTCTTTTTGCAAAAGTCAAACCCTCATTTGCACTCTGTATCCAACTCCTCTCAATTCCTAAAGGACTCTGCTCCTTTCTTGGTGTCCCCATCTCCTGAGTCATCAACTCTTATCTCTTTCCTGGACCATTCTTAGCAACTTATAAACAAGATGTACAATCTTCCAAATCCAGGTGGTATCTCCCTTGACAAGACTCATGTTTCACAGCCTTCTCTTTTTTACCCCTTTCCTTTGCTTCCTTTTACAAACTTCTCCAAATAGTTACCTAACTGTTGCCTCCACTTCTTATCCTGCCATTCAAATCTCACTGCAATCTGATCACCCTTTGCCCAGTGTTCAAATGAGGTTATTAAGGTCACTAAGGTGCCCATGAATCTCCATGCTGCCACCCACTCAACCTCCTGGCTGCACCCAATATAGTTATCAACTCCCTCCTTCTGATTTTCTTTCCAATTCACTGGACTTTCCTTTTTGGTCACTTATTTTAATTATTTTGCTTAATTATTACTTACGTGTCTCATCATTAATCTATAAGCTCCACAAAGGCTGAAATCTTACCCATGCTATTCACTATTGTGGTATAGTTTATATACATTAAAATTCATCCATTTTAATCATATAATGCAATGATTTTTTCATACATTTACCAAGTTGCACAATCATTACCAGAAACCAGTTTTAGAATATTTTTCCTTACTCTGATAAGATCCTCCACAGCCATTTAGTCCTGCATTTTACTCCCAGGCTCAGGCAATCACAAATCTACTTACAGTTGGCCTTTTATAGACATTTCATATAAATGGAATCATACACCATGTGATCTCTTCTGTCCAGCTTCTTTCATTTACCATGTTTTTGAGGTTCATACATGTAACTTCAATGTTTCATTCCTTTTTATTGTTGAACTTCAATTATATGGGAGTGCTACTATGTTTTATTTCTCCTTTCATCAGTTGATGAGAATGTGGGATGGTTTCAATTTTTAGCATTTATGATAATTCTGCTATGAACATTCATGTGCAAATCTTTGTGTAAAAAAGAATGAAATAGTGTAAGAGTTATGAAACCATAAAAATTTTGGAAGAAAAATAGAAAAACTTGTAGACCTTGGGTGCTATGGTGTCAAAAAAAATGGATACATTAGGCTTCACCAAAATTAAAACTCTAGTGTTTCAAAACACACCATTAAGAAAATGAAAACTCAAGTCACAGAGCGGGGGTGACTTCATTGAGCATTCTGTTCAAATGAAAAGAATTTTCATTTCTTTTGGTTAAATGTCTAGGAATAAAATTGATAGGCCATGTGGTAAATTTATGCTTAACTTTCCAAGAAGATATTAAACTGTTCTCTAAAGTGGCTGTACAGTTTTACACCACTACCAGCAATGTCTAAGGTTCCTATTACTCTATGTCTTCCTCAGCATTTGTTATTTTCTCTCTGTGAACTGGTATCTCATGATGGTTTTGATCTGCATTTTCACTAGTAATATGGAGCATCTTTTCCTGTGCTTTTTAGCCATTAAATATATCTCCTGTGGGTGATATGCCTATTCATATCTTTTGCTCATGAGGTTGTCTTCTCACTGAGTTCTAATAGTTCTTTGTATATTCTGAATAATACTCCTTTATCAGATATGTAATTAACAAATATTTCCCACCCCCACTCTGTGACTTGAGTTTCCATTTTCTTAATGGTGTGTTTTGAAACACTACAGTTTTAATTTTGGTGAAGCCTAACATATCCATTTTTTTTTGACACCATAGCACCCAAGGTCTACAAGATTTTCTATTTTTCTTCCAAAATTTTTATGGTTACATAACTCTTACACTGAATTCTCTTAATTACTTTAATTTTTTCATGTACAATGCAAGATAGGAGTTCCTCTTTTTTTAATGTGGATATTCCAAAACCATTTGTTGAAAAGACTATCCTTTCCCCTTTGAAATGCCATAGCACCTTTTTCAAAAATGACTTGTCCATCAAGAGTTATTTCTGAACTATCAATTCTGGTTAATTCATCTGTATGCCTATTCTTAGGTCAGTACCACACTCTCTTGAGAATTATAGCTATTAAGTTTTGAAACTATGAAACATAATGATCTTGTCTATTATTGGTCTTTTCCATTACCATATAAATTTAGAATCAATTTGTCCATTTCTGCAAAGAAGTCCTTTGGAATTTTGATAGAATTAAGTTAAATTTGTTGATTAATTTGAAGGAAATTATCATTTTAATCATACTGACTCATCCAATTCATGAACATGGGATGTCTTATTACTTATTAGGTATAATAAATTTAATTATTAAATTGATACTGAAATATTCTGTTATTTTTGATGTGCTGTGAATAAAATGATTTTAATTTTATTTTCAAATGGTTCATTTGCTAGTATATGGAAATTGATTTTTCTATGCTGATCTTATACATCATAATTTTGTTGAATGTGTTTATTCATTATCACGGTCGTGTGTATGAGTGTGTATCAATAGGCATTTTATGAATGAATGACAAATAGAATGGATCAAGATAATACAATTAGTAACTACAAAAAACTTAGGAGCAAAATTACAGTCTTAAGCCTCTGCCTTAGCCTCAAAATATCAGGGAGTTTTTTCCTGGGGCCGAAGAGACAAGAAATGTGTTGATGCATATCTACTGTTTCACAAGGAAAAATATTTACCCTGCAATGTCTAGTATTACTTTTTCCATCACTATGCCGAAGAAGAATGACTCACTGGAGCCCAGACAAGATGATAGTGACTGGGCAAAGGTAAAGAGGAAAATGTTCAACTCATCCAGAGCTGGAGCAAGTACAATTCACAAAGCCATTTCTGTTCATTTATTCCCTGAAATTCTAGTCCATGTACCTCTTAATTGGAACTAATGTCTTTTGTGTTTAGTATTTTATGAAACCTGTATTGAATACATGTTTTTTGTGATTCTTACCTAGACTATATAACTGATTGCATGCTAATGTGCCAAACTGGGAACTGAAAGGAAGACATACATTTTGCAGCTCCTAGTTGACATAGAAAACTAAGAGCTTTTTGCACTGAAAACAAACGGTTTACTAAAGAATAATAGTGGAACATAACAATGCATAGATTCATAATTCTGAGAATATATACCATGCCTCTTTGCTTAAAGAGAAGAGTATCATTTCCCTCTAGAGGCAAATATTTCTTAGGAATTAGGCTATTCCTTAAATCTTGAGCCTTATCCTTACCTGTCGTAGAATGCCAAGCGTCATTAGGTTGCTTCACAGAATGACAAGATTCTGAACCACTTATTAGGTGAACTGATACCTCTCAACTTGGCAGATGAAGTCTTAGTTTGACTTTTAGATAATTCAGTAAAAAAAGCCTTAAGCCTAGCTGTGACATGATTTACTAATTTCAGATAAATCACATACCCTAACTGTACCCATTTTTTTCTGAGAGCAAATTTTAGCAAGGAGCATAAAAGAAATAATCAATCTTGCACAGCACTAGTAATTGTGCTATAAAGCACCCATTTTCAGCTTCTGGGGGTATCCATCAAAATTAATGTGGTTTTATAACCATACTCACTCCCTAAAGGTGTTCTGTTTGTGTTTTAGAATTTACAGCAATATTCTTTTATATATTAAAAACATCACTGGAGTCATACAAAACCATCCCTAAGGGTCACTGAACTAAGTAAATATAATAGTCTTAGGCAGTGGTTCTCAGACTTTGATAACAGAAGAATTATTCATTAAAGTGGATTTCAGGTTCCCTCAAATTCTGACTTAATGCAAGCAATATTCTGATATTATAAAAGTGCAACAAATAAATCTGTTAGTAACTAATTTAGATATTGATTCCTTCATTATAATAGCACAATTTTAAATTCAAAAACTAAGCACTTACCCAACAGAAGTAAAGGTCTTCCCTCTGGCACAGGGTCCTTAACTGCATTAATAATTCCTTTGGATACATCTGAGACCTATAAAAAATTATAATGTATGTTGAAGTAATACTTGAAAAGGAGAGGGCCGGGCGCGGTGGCTCACGCCTGTAATCCCAGCACTTTGGGAGGCCGAGGCGGGTGGATCATGAGGTCAAGAGATCGAGACCATCCTGGTCAACATGGTGAAACCCCGTCTTACCAAAAATACAAAAAATTAGCTGGGCATGGTGGTGCACACCTGTAGTCCCAGCTACTTGGGAGGCTGAGGCAGGAGAATTGCCTGAACCCAGGAGGCATTGGTTGCGGTGAGCTGAGATCGGGCCATTGGACTCCAGCCTGGGTAACAAGAGCGAAACTCCATGTCAAAAAAAAAAAAAGAAAAGGAGATAGAATGAGAGACAGAGAGACAGGAAGAAAGGAAAGAAGGGAAAAAGGATGGAAGGAGGAATAAAGGAAGAAGGCCACACTGATCTCAACAAAGAAAATGTGACAAAGTTAAAATAATGGCATTATCTATTCGTAGAAAGCTTCTTGAAGAATGAGCCTTCTCAAGAGCTCAAATAATCTCTGCTATCCACGTATTTTCCACAGTAGGAAAGTACTTCCCTTCAGATAGCTTGAGGCTTTTCTGGCTTGTCTTTGCCCACAGCTTGCTAAACTCGTCTCTTACCACTCCTCCCAACTCTCTTATTAACCGTCACAAATTATTAAGCTGTATCACATGGAATTGCTAATATTCTGCCATTTCGGTTTTCAAAAACAATAGTAGTAATAGTGATTTTGGCCCCCAGGGGACATTGACAACCCCTCTGGAGACATTTTCAGTTGTCATAACTGGAGGGTGCTATGAATGGCATCTAGTGGCTAGAGGCCAGGAATGCTGCCAAACATTCTTCAACAGCCCCCATAATGAAGAATTATCTGGCTGAAAATGTCAATACTGCCACTACTGAGAAAACTTGGTTCAACTGAACATGGAATCCAACATGCCCTTTCACCTCTGGGCCCCTGTACCTACTGTTCCCTCTGCATGCAATACTCTTCCCCAACTCCCTGCATCAGACTACATTCAGTCATCTTTAAGGTTTTAGCCTACATGCCCCTCTTTCTGAGAGAAGAGAGGGATACTGATTAACCATGTTGAAGTTGCACAAGCTAACAGTTTTCTCTGATTGACAGACCAAGGATATATTTTTTCATTAAGGAAGAATACATACTTGAAAAATGATTAAGCAATGTTTCCTCTCTTCCAAAGATGTCCTATGGCTCTATGATAATGGCTTCTGGAAACGCTTCTCTCACTGCTGTTTCTCCAACAGCCTAAACAACAACCAACAAACCTGTTTTGAGTTTTGAGACAAGTGAATAAAGCTTCCATTCTTTCCACTATTAAGACAGGTCTTGTATTTCAAAGGTGATATTTTCCTCCAGATAAAGGTCATCATGTGATTCATAAAACTCAGTTACACATAACCTTTAAAAACATAATCCACAAAAGTGTCCTGCACCTTATAGCTTTGGCTGGGTTTCTTCCCATTTTTTATTTTAAGGGAAGCTTACATTGAAGGAAATAAATCAAATGTATCATTCAGAAATATTGTTTACTATATTTGTTTGCATGTATGGTGTCCTCAATCTTCTGAACAATACATCATCTGAGTAATAATCTCAACACATTGAGTCAATTCCATGTCATCAGTGGGAGAGGAAACCTGTGTGTTCATTGAACCAGGTGACCCAGGGGTCACTGTGGCTGACATCATTTTGTTTAGTTTGAGCTGAGATTGTGGCATTGCACTCCAGCCTGAGCAACAGATCGAGACTCCTTCTCAATAAATAAATAAATAAATAAACAAACAAATGACCAAGTACTGAAAAGCTACCAGAAGAAAAGGGAAACAGAAGAATCCTATCTGAGTAAATCATTATTAGACCAATTTCAGCTATTACGCAGTGAATATTTTTGGAACTGGAAATAGGGATAGTACTGAAACAATCCTCCCATGTTTTCCTCTAGCTTTTTCTCAATAAGAATATATTTTAGGCCAGACTTGGTAGCTCACATCTGTAATCCAAGCACTTTGGGAGGCTGAGGTGGGTGGGTCATTTGAGGTCAGGAGTTCAAGACCAGCCTGGCCAACATGGTGAAACCCTGCCTCTACCAAAAATACAAAAATTAGCTGGGCATGGTGGTGGGTGCCTGTAATCTCAGCTACTCAGGAAGCTGAGGCAGGACAATCCCTTGAACCCAGGAGGTGGAGTTTGCAGTGAGCAGAGATAGTACCACTGCACTCCAGCCTGGGCAACAGAACAAGACTCCATTTCAAAAAACAAACAAACAAACAAAAGGAATATATTTTAAAACCCAACTCTGAATTGGGTCCAATATACATTTTATAGTCAATAAGTTAATTTACTTCATTTTCACACTTGGGATCAAAACAAGTATGAAAAGGTCTATATTTAAAGCAACATTGTACTTAGGGAGAGTCTGTAAAATTATGCATTATAAAGTAGAATAAAAAAAGAATGGTAAGCAGATTTCAACTGAGAATTTCATCAAGTGTAGCCACAAAAAGGATTCAAAAACAAATCACCTGTAGGAAGGTGACAGGGAGGGGAAGGAGTTGAGGAATAATTTATGATAACAACATCAACGCACAGCCCTGCCCCGTGATGCTTTTCACTCTTGAGCAAATCTGCGAACACTTGAAGTCAGACTTTGAATTGTGTGTGTGTGTCTATGTGAATTTTTTTGGTAGCAGTTTCTTTGAAAAAAAAAAGGGAAAATAAAACATGTCGTGTTTTTCCTCCCTTTTCTCATTTGATTCAGTGTGGAGTTGAAAACATCGGAAGAGAAGAGTCTCATAATGGAAATCCATTGTTCTCTAAGGTATCTACAGTGTTCCAACCATTTTAATAGAACATACCAGAGAGTAATCCCCTGAGAAACTCTTGCAGAATATTGGTTTTTCTCACATATTAGAACATTTGGAGTTCCAATTAATTAGAAAAATAAAATCTAATTTTATCCTTATCTGCTCAGTCTTCCTTCAGATAGCCCGAAATTTCTGATTTCTACCCACCTATAACTATGTCTAATTCCGAACCTGCTTTCCAGAGAAAAGGTCTAGAGGGTGGGGCAAGAGGATTTCATTTCCTGAAATCTCTGTTTTAACTTCTCTAAGCTGAGGATTCTCAGGAAAGGAAGATATTGTAGAATTTGATCCAAAATGCTCACTGCTCAGATGAAAAGAAACCTCAAGCCAGAGCGCTGACCTGGGCAGATGGAGGAGGGGGCAGGGCAGATAAGCAGACCCTGTGCTTCTGATGCCTCCTCGCCTCTTGTCTGTCTTCCAGGCCCTGGCTGACTTGGTGCATTCACACATCCAGTCAAACGAGCTGTGCTCCAAGCAGCTGACACTGAGCTGTCCGCTCTGTGTCAATCCTGTCTGCAGGGAGACTAAATCCTTCTTCACCAACCAGCAGCTGTGACCCCCGCCAGTGGACCCTGTGGGGTTAGGTAAATGCCCAACCTCTCGATACCCCCGACGTGGAGAGGATGTTGTTTAGAGATCAAGGAAGGAAGTCACCCTTCCTTGATATATATACAGCCTTTGGGCACAAATTGTGTGCTTTCTTGAGGATTGGACTCTATTGATAGATTTCTATTTTTATATAACTATACAGTAAGCATTTATGTTTTCTCTCCCTATGTATAAGTTACTAGTTTGGAATGTCCACTAGGACCTTTAATAAGTAAGTTAAAAATTTATCTTATGAGACACACCTATTTTAAATACAGATTTTGGCTTTATTGCCCCAAACCCTCCTGAAAGGGTACAGAGAGCCCCCTTCGTGAGCTGTCAGTGTGAATGATTTCTTTTTAGTCTTGTGCATATAGTTGCTGTTTTTTGAATGAACATAGTTGAGTGTTTAAAATGAATTTGAAAAAGAAATGTTACTTAACCTTTCCCCAATCCCATGGGTTACAGAAAGCTAGGGAGGCAATGTGGTTACCTACAACGGCTGCTTTTGCCAGTGAGGCCAACATTCATTGGTCACCTTGGTATTTGTGTGTGAATCTTACTTTCCTCAATGTAAAAAGGAATCAAGTATGCATTTCAGAAGTGCCCTGAGAGTCCCCATTTACCCAATGCTAATAAAAGTGTAGAAGTACAGTGTCCATCATAGGTGCCTTGGTGGGAGTCCGTGGTGCCACAGGGAAGAGGTTTCCGCTGCTTCCGGTGTCCAAGGACAGCACTGCTGGAAAGGCCAACAATGAGCTTCCCCCTGGAGCTCCTCCTGGGACCTCGTGAGCCTTTCCACCTGGCGGCTTCTCTTTCATAGTCGAATGCCTTCTTTCTGCACATTTGTTTTAAGAATTCTTTTATAAAGTCAACAGTGCTTTGTAACCTTGAATGCTTCCATAATTTATGTTTTTTTATTATAAAAATTATATAGCCATATAGTGGGACATGTGAAGAATACAGAAAAGTAACCACTTTAATGCAATAACTATTATAATATTGTATTTCACACCAGTCCTTTCCTGTAGATATTTTTAATGGCATTGCAACCTTAGATTTGTGAGTGAAAAGTGTTTCTAAAAATGCAGAAACAATGTCAGATCAGAATCTGATCTTCTATATTTGTATTTAAATGGATTCAAGATTCCTGGTGGTTCTATGAAGAATTTGTAATGGTCACTTTCTCTTTCCTCCATGCCCTGAAACTTTGTTCTTCAAAAGAGCATTTCTTTGATTTTTTTGTTAAGCAAGTTTTTAAAGTAGAAATATTAGAATATTGATAAACCTTTTATATTGAGAACTGGCTGTTAGTAAATATTACAATATCATTAAGGTTTGAACTAAGTTTGATTCATGCTGTCTGTTCAATCAAAACTGATCTAAATTAACCAAAATTATTAAATGTGAGGAACTTTTTTAATACAGGGAAAGAAACGTAGCATCCACTGGAGTTAATAGTTTTCCTACATCGATGACAGCCCTCATGAGTAGCATCTACATTTTAAAATTTCAAATAGGCTTTTCTGTTAGTTGATTGGGTTTCTAGAGAAAGATACAAGGCATGGTCAATTGTTTAGGGTTTTCCTCTAGCCTTTTCCATCACCTTTTGGGGGGTTAGGTTCATAGCAGGCTTTGAGTGACTCTCCCACCATGAAGTGAATTCTCTGGGTTAGTGGCCTGGTGCTAAAAGGCAGGTTATTTTTGGAGCCACTCCCACTCCTTTAGGAAACTTCGCAAGGGTCTGCTTCAATTCTTCAGTGACTTTAGAGGTGAAACAGTGTTTTTATAGAGATGATGCAGAAAACTCCAATTTAGGAGCCCTTGCAAGCATATCCGAAGCACTTATGTGCTCAGGAAACTTCTGAATTGATAGTCCTGGGCTGTCTGGAATAATATCCTTGATACTGAGTTGGGACCAGACCAGCTTTTATAGTGACAGACAAAGAGGCATTTATTGAGACCACTGCCTGTGGCATTTGTTGCTCTAAGCAGTGTTACCTTTGACTGTTAGTAACCATGGATGGGTAACAGTCATACCCTAGGCTAGCGTTTAGTAGGACAAAATATTTTTAGAGCTTTGAGAATTGTCATCCTGTTGGTCAACTTTGAAATACAAATGTTTGTCCTGGTAATTAGCAATGAACTGCTGGCAGTTTCTTCAAGCTGTGTATGCACAGATCTGACCTTTAATTGATGAATCAACTTCTACAGAAACTTTGCAGGGATGGTGTTGATGAGGCAGTTTAGCTTGTCAGGGTGATGATAAGACCCAGGCCTCTGCATGTGCAGTGCTCTTTTAAAGAGTACACATTCTTAAACTACTTAACTTTTTAAAAATCAAAATAAATTTTTGCACTCAAAACTTGCTTCATATCAGGAGAAATGAACTCATTGTGGTTTTGGTTTGTTTTTATTTTTATTTTTGTTTTTGATGGAATCTTGATATCTCACAGGCTGGAGTGCAGTGGTGCAATCTCAGCTCACTGCTAACTGCACCTCCTGGGCTCAAATTATTCCCACCTCAGCCTCTCAAGTGCTGGGACTACAGGAGTGCATCATCATGCCTGGCTACTTTTCTGTATTTTTTGTAGAGATGGAGTTTTGCCGTGTTGTCCAGGCTGATCTTGGACTCCTGGGCTCAAGGGATCCTCCTGCCTCAGTCGCCTAAATTGTGGGGATTACAGGTATGAGCCTCTGCAGTTGGCCCTGAACTCATTATTAAAACCCCTTTAAATGTGAGGCTGCGTGCAATGCCTTACATGTGTCATCCCAATACTTTGGGTGGCTGAGGTTGGAGAATTGCTTGAGCCCAGCAGTTTGAGGTTGCAGTGAGGTGTGATTGCACCCCTGCACTCCAGCCCAGGAAGACCCTGGCCCAAAATTAAAAAAAAAAAAAAAAGAAATACTGGAGATTGGGTCATTTATAAAGAAAAAAGGTTTAATTGATTCAGTTCGGCATGTCTAGGGAGGCCTCGGGAAATTCACAATCATAGCAGAAGGGGAAGCAGTCAGGTCTTACATGGCAGCAGGGGAGAGCAAGCAAAGTGGGGAAGAGCCCCTTATTTATAAAACCTCAGATCTTGTGAGAACTCACTAAAACAAGAACAACATAGGGGGAACTGTCTCCATGTTCCAATCCCCTCCTACCAGGTCCTTCTTTGAACATGTAGGGATTATGGGGATTATAATTTGAGATGAGATTTGGGTGGGGACACAGAACCAATCACAAGTCATTCCACCCTGCCCTTCCCAAATCTCACCTCATTTTCACATTTCAAAACCAATCACTCCTTCTCAACAGTTCCCCAAAGTCACTCCACCATTAACTCACTCCACCATTAACTCAAAAGTCCCCCAACGTCTTAACTTATTCCACATTAACCCAAAAGTCCAAGTCCAAAGTCTCATCTGAGACAAGGCAAATCCCTTCTGCTTGTGAAGTTGTAAAATTAAAAGCAAGTTAGTTACTTCCAAGATACCATGAGAATATAGACATTGGGTAAATGTTCCCATTCCAAATGGGAGAATTGGCCAAAGTACAGGGTCTACAGGCCCCATGAACCACTGAACTCTCCTGTGCAAGTCTTAAACCCGGCAGGGCACTCATTAAATCTTAAAGCTATGGAGTAATCTCCTTTGACTCCATGTCCCACATCCAGGTCATGCTGATGCAAGAGGTAAGCTAATATTTCTTATAAATTGGGTACTTAATTAGAGAAACCATAACTTAAGGCATGGAAAAGAGATCCTTTGCTCAATCTGAAGCCACTGTGTTTGTCCAAGGTATATTATTACTCACAAAGGGTGAGAGATTATGCTGCAGCCACACCCCAAGTGGAGTGAGCAGCAAGACCTGCCTTTGCTCAGAGTATAGATGAGCGGGGCACTTGCATTCCTGGGGGCTCTGCTTGCTATGTGAGTTCCTCTCGATGCAGCAAAGGACCACCTCGTACAGTGACAGTTGGAGGGCACAATTTAAAGCTGGCAGCCGTAAGAAGGCAAATGTCTGCGTGTGTGCCCGGGGGCATGTGAAGGTGCAGGTGCATCAGCCAGGAGCCTCTGATTCACCTCTAACCTTCTCACCTCTAACCTTCTCCCCTAGAACCCAACTCTTCAGCAGATACTGTGCTGGTATCCAACCCTTCAGCGGATACTGTGTTGAAGAGCTGGATGTCCCCACCATCCTGGGCCTTTATAAAACTGATTTTGGACTAAAACCAGGTCTTTCACGTAACTGCTCAGGGTCCCATCCTCCTGCACTCACCTGATACAGCAGGGATGACTTCAGCAGGATTTGGCTGCTAATGTGTGGGAAGCTTACCATATTCTTCTTCCCCTTAGTGTCCACAATGGGGAGTGAAGTAACCCTGGTGTTCTAAGAAGGAGAAATTGGATACATTACAAAAGCCTTTGGCAAGAAAATGTCCACAGGGGTTGTTTCTTCTAGCCACCACAACCCCCATCAAGAATGAGCCTAGGCCGGGTGCAGTGGCTCAAGCCTGTAATCCCAGCACTTTGGGAGGCTGAGGTGGGTGGATCACGAGGTCGGCAGATCGAGACCATCCTGGTCAACATGGTGAAACCCCGTCTCTACTAAAAATTACAAAAAATTAGCTGGGCACGGTGGCGTGTGCCTGTAATCCCAGCTACTCAGGAGGCTGAGGCAGGAGAATTGCCTTAACCCAGGAGGCAGAGGTTGCGGTGAGCTGAGATTGCGCCATTTGCACTCCAGCCTGGGTAACAAGAGCAAAACTCCATCTCAAAAAAAAAAAAAAAAAAAAGAATGAGCCTAACCCAAATCTGGACATAATGCTATTCTTAAAGTTCTTGGCAAGGAAAGCAGATTCCAGAGCAGCAGAGTCAACAACTACCTGGGCTCTGGGTTTGAGTCCCTGCTGTACTCCTTACTAGCTGTAGGCTTTCATCAGGTCACATTGACTCTTTCTCTAAACCTCAATTATTTCATCACTACCATGGGAACAAAAATGGGGCACCTCATAAGGCTTTTGTGAGGTAAATGAGTCCATCTCTGTGGAGTATTCTGTAAGTGGTGGCCATTATCATTATTACTGCAATATCTTCCCACCCAAACACAGGGAAGTCCTTCCTGTTATATCATACAAATCTTCCTCAGTGCAACTTAAGCTTCCGTTTCCTATATGACTACATTATTGATTTGACCGACTCTCTTGGATCCCTGCCCTCAGGCACTGATTGATTGACTGACTAATCAGGAGAGTGGTCACAATAGCTACAATTTAGAAGCAACCTAAGTGTCCATGAACAGATGAGTGAAGAAATGTGATATTTAAACACAATGGAATACCTGTTCAGTCATAAAAAGGAATGAGATCCTGTCATTTGCGACAATATGGTTAGAACTGGGGATCATTATGTTAAGTGAAATAAGCTAGGCACAGAAAGAGAAACATCACACATTCTCACTTATTTGTGGTATCTAAAAAATCAAAACAATTGGATTAATGGAGATAGGGATTAAAAGGATGATTATCAGAGGCTGGGAAGGGCAGTAGTGGGGGGAGAGGTGGGGATGGTTAATGGGTACAAAAACGCAGACTGAATAAGACCTCATGTTTGATAGCACAACAGGGTGACTATAATCAATAGTAATTTAATTGTATTTTATTGTAGGTAACACAAAGGATAAATGCTTGAGGGGGTGGAGACCCTATTCTCCATGATGTGATTATTACACATTGCATGTCTATATCAAAACATCTCATGTACCCCATAAATATGTGCACCTACTATGTATCCACAACAATTAAAATAAAAACATTTTTAAAAATCATGTGGAGACGGGGCATGGTGATGTGGATAGAGTGCTGTCATCATGTTATCATACGTGTTGTGATAAACTGGCCAGACCTGCCTGTTCAAAGCCACCCTTGCTATCCTCCTCTCCTCATTGTCTCCTAGGGAAAAGAAGCTGACCAGCACTCCCTACCTTATGAAGGGCTTGGGTCATTCTGGAGTGCTTGATATTGGAAGGCAGCTTCTGGACTTGAACCGAAAGTTTACCTTCAAGCTGGATCAAGTGGAAGGAAACAGGAACGGTGCTTGGCATGGCGTCATCCCAAGCTGCACATTTTTGTTTCATTACAATGAACACACTATGCTTAAAGCCAGCTCTCCTGACCCCTAAGCTAGGAAGAGCCAAGGGAGGCTCCAATAAGCACTGAATGAATGTGTGAATGTATGATTATCCAAACAGATGACCGTTCCCAAAGTGTTCATCCTGGATGGGCTTGGCCTATGGTTTTCATGCTTTAAAAATAATCAGTATGGCCTTTTTTTCCCAATAAAATCTTAACTAGAGACCCTGGATATGGTAAGGAGCAACAGTTGAACTGCTCTTGCACTTTAGGAAAGAAAATGCCCATTGCCTTGCCTGGAAATCTTTTCACCCTGAGTGTGGCTCTGAAGGTGTCATGGTGGAACCTACCAGAACACAGGCACCCAGCCTGGACACCAGTGACCTGATCAGAAGAGACTTCCCACTTAGAAAGGGTGAGGAGAAGAAAATAAAATACTAGAGCAGTGTGTCCCAGAGGGTGGCAAGCACACTGCAGAGGAAGGTGACATAATGTGTGCAGTACACAGATAAACAGTTACCTGGCTGGGCGCAGTGCCTCAAGCCTGTAATCCCAGCTTTGAGAGGCCCAGGCGGGCAGATCATGAGGTGAAGAGATTGAGACCATCCTGGCCAACATGGTGAAAGTCGGTCTCTACTACAAATACAAAAATTAGCTGGGCATAATGACACAAACCTTTAGTCCCAGCTACTTGGGAGGCTTTGGCAGGAAGAATTGCTTTGAACCCCGGAGGTGGAGATTGCAGTGAGCTGAGATCGCACCACTGCACTCCAGCCTGGTGACAGAGCAAGATTCTGTCTTAAATAATAATAAAAAAAAAAAGAGTTGGCCGCGTGCGGTGGCTCATGCCTGTAATCCCAGCACTTTGGGAAGCTGAGGTGGGCAGATCACGAGGTCGAGAGATTGAGACTATCCAGGCCAACATGGTGTAACCCTGTCTCCACTAAAAAATACAAAAAATTAGCTGGGCATGGTGGCACACACCTGTTGTTCCAGCTACTCGGGAGGCTGAGGCAGGAGAATTGCTTGAACCCTGGAGGCAGAGTTTGCAGTGAGCCGAGATCCTGCCACTGCACTCCAGCCTGGTGCCTGGTGACAGAGTGAGACTCTGTCTCAAAAAAAAAAAAAAAAAAAAAGCAAGCTATCTACTGGGTATGCATTTTCTGTAATATCCATTTGAAAAACTGTAACGAGCACATTGAACCTATAACATGGTGGTTGTTATTATTTAGGATGACATTAAAATTTAAGTTAAAAAATATAAGACCACACATGGTATCTCACTCCTGTAATTTTAGTGCTTTGAGAGGCTGAGGTGGGATGATCACTTGAGGCCAGGATTTTCAAGTTATCCTGAACTATGATCATGCCACTGTACCCCGGCCTGAACAACAGATAGAGACCCTGTCTCTATAAAAAAGTAATAAAGCAGAGTGTGAGGACTATGTAGACATGGCAAAAATTGTGAAGCTGGCACTCAAATGACAAGTTTAGCAGCAACAGGCTGCATATTGAATCGAAGCTCTGGTCTTTGAGCCAAACCAGGGGTTCTCCTTCTTTCAGACCTCCCCTGTGCAATGGAAGGTTGTTTATCCAAGGCTGAGACACAGCTGGTGCCATACCCGCTTCTATGAAAATTTGACCTCATTGAAATAACAACTGGGTACAACACTTAATACCATCCAGCACAGCTAAGTCCTGCACAGAGCAGTGATGATGAGGACTGTTTAGGACAGTCAATCTTGACGTCCTGGAATGGGGAGGTAGTCTGAGGGAGAGAGGGTTGCATAGAGCATGGGGCATGGTCTCAGACCATGTTAATTCACTAATGCGCTATATTTAGGATTTCACTATTGAATGGAAAATGATATCTGAGCAAATATTGTATTGCAAATCTCACTGAGTCTCAATTTCTCATCAAATAGGTTTGCGGGGATGAAAATAAGCATCTTCAATAACAGGCTGACATTGAGGATGCCATAGGGAGACTGGACAGATAAATGAAAGGCACATTAACAGAATATAACCCAAACTAAATACGAAACAAAGGGCATGAACAGTGAGGACCAACAAAGAAGGAAAAGATCACTGTGAATACAGTCAGCCGAGAAGGATGGTGGAAGAAGGGATGCTTTCCTGAATGGGTGAGGCTTGGTCTGGGCTTGAACTGAGAGGACAGGCAGAGAGCATGCTTGCTCAGTGAGACAGCACCATCCAGGCACGCTCCAGGGCTCTTCACTGCTCATGCTGGGTTAGCAGGAACAGGGGTTGATTGCAGGTGTGGAAAGCACTGAAAGACTAAGACACTTGGTCTTTATCCTGTGGGCAACAGTGGACCACTGACAATTCGTACAGCTGAGAGTTACATGTGCACAGCAGTACTTCAGAAAGACCCCATGGGCAGCAATGTGATAAAATAATGCTCATGGGTATGGACTCTGAAATCACACTCTTCCATTTTGATTGCTGGCTCTGCTACTCATTGTTTGTACCTGGGCAAGTTATTAGCCTCTCCTCATGCAATGTGGGGATAATATTAGTGCAATCTCAAAATGTTGGGAGGATTAAGGGAGTTCATATGTGTAAAGGGCTTAAACCAGTGCTTTGCATATGCTAAAGTTGTCTGCTAGAGTTCATTTTCCTTATTTGCAAAATGGAGAGACCGACCTTTGCTTATTTCCTGTGAACAGGAAAACGATGAACTCAGAAATTAGCTGACAGAGCAAAGGGATATGTGTGTGTGTGTGTGTGTGTGTGTGTGTGTGTACACATGTGCATGCAGCCCAGGAGTTTAGCAGCCCCGGGTGGCCAAGTGACCCCAAGGACTGGTGGCTTCTACATCTCTGCACACCTGTACTCCATTCTCAGATACCCATAGGTCATACAAGTTTATGAACTTGCTGATTGTTGGCTGTATTTTTTTTTTTTTTTTTTGAGATGGAGTTTCGCTCTTGTTACCCAGGCTGGAGTGCAATGGCGCAATCTCGGCTCACCGCAACCTCCGCCTCCTGGGTTCAGGCAGTTCTTCTGCTTCAGCCTCCTGAGTAGCTGGCATTACAGGCACATGCCACCATGCCCAGCTAATTTTTTGTATTTTTAGTAGAGATGGGGTTTCACCATGTCAACCAGGATGGTCTCGATCTGTTGACCTCGTGATCCACCCACCTCTGCCTCCCAAAGTGCTGAGATTACAGGCTTGAGCAGCTTCCTCAAGAGGCACACAATGCCTTATAATAACAGGTAATTCAACCAAGGCATCCCCCAGAGGCAGGAGAAAGTAGATGTGCTCTCCCATATTCACAGTGGCAAGATGATTTTTCTTTAATAAAGTGAGCTTTCGTTACATTGTTATTTCTAAGCCAATAAAACAGGAATCTCCTCAATAGTCCTGAGCTGTGTATCTAAATCTACAATCCTCTATGTAAAAAAGAGTTTACTCACAAAATCCAGAGCATAGGGGATGCTTCTTGTGCAGTCCAAGACCTGGGCACTGGAGAACGGCTGGGTGAAGCCTCTGGAGGGGACAGGAGATAAGATGAAAGGACATCAGAGAAAGCCAATGAGGCTCTTGTTTCTAGAAATGGTGTCTTGCCCTGTCACCCAGGCTGCAGCCTCTACCTCCCAGCCTCAAGTGATCCTCTCACCTCAGCCTTCCAAGTAGCTGGGACTACAGGTGCACACTCCCAAGCCTAGCCAATTATTTTTATTTTTACTTTTGGTAGAGACGGGATCTTGCAATGTTGCCCAGGCTTTCTCGAACTCCTGAGCTCAAGCAATCCTCTTGCCTTGGCCTCCCAGTATTAAGATCACGGGCATGAGCCATCATGCCCCCAGCCAAAGCTCTTTTCAGTTCTCCGTTTTGTGACCATCACAGCTCACAGAAGCCTTCTAAACAGCCAGAACTAAACTGTGAAGCTTCTTTATTCCCAACTTTTTGTATCGATGTGCACTGCTTTTATCATCAACAATACCATTGTTTAAAAGCAAAAGATATTATAGCAGATAAGTGTAAATGGTTCCACACAATGCAAGGGAGGAGAAGGCAGTAATAAGCGCAGGAGCACTTTCTCCATGAGAGCCCGGAGAGAGTGGAACAGGCTCTAGGAGGCATCAGGGAAACTGTGCTGGGAGAGCCTCAGTCTATGGAAACAGCAATTGTGGGAATCAAGAGAGGGTACTGGAGATGCTGGGCTCACAGGTAGCCTGAGGTCGTTAAGATTCTCTTACACACAGGCCCACATTGGAGTCTTGGGATTCCCTGGGCTTTCTGGCTTGCTTGCCATCACTAGGCGATAGACCCAGAGGACCCAGACAGTGCGTCAACACACCACAAGTGGGCCGATGGGGGGTGAGGGGTGCTCCAGTCTCAAGTCCTAACCCAGGGTCCCTCTTCTGCCCTCACACGTGTCTGTTTTTTGAGCTAGCTAAGCACTTGGTTTCTCACACTTCTTTTGTTTTCTCAGAAAAAAACAACAACAGCAAATTCCATCTGCCTGTTTCAGCTAGCTCACCTTCCTCTAATAAAAGCTGAGTTCAGCTTAAAAGCTGATGATTAAAGGAAGGGGGAAAGTCTAAACCAGTGTGCTCACCCGCCCCTACTCTGCACCTGACATTTATGCAAAGTAGCCATTTGGCACAAAGGTGCCAAACTGTTCTGTCCAGTTACTTGGTCCTGTGATCCTGCTCTTCTTCTTGCCTCAAAGATTCTTCCAGCAACACCTCCCTCCTGCCTCCCCAAGCCAGAAGGACACACAGAATCACTGAGTTGGAATGGACCTTGGAGATGCGTTCATTCTTAATGCATTTACTGAGCATGTCCATGTTCCAGGCAGTGCACTAAGCACAGAAGATCACACGGTCCAGGCTCCCTAGAGGTAGAGCCCAGAAACCCATATTTTAAGCTTCCCCAAGTGAGTTCTGTATGGACAGATTTGTGAGCCACATTCTAATATAATCCCCTCCTTTGGAACTAGTCTCTCCCACCTCTGAACTTGTGTTTTCCTTTATGTCATTGATGTTTATGTCGCCTTTCCAACTTTTTATGAATTCTTCTCATACTCCCCCAGGAGATTCCATGGCAACAAACATTAGGCTTTCCATGATGTGCCAGCTCTGGAACTTCAAGACCAGTCCCTCTGGCTGGGTCATCCGAGGGTCCCACAGAGCCTACCCTGCGTGTCAGTGCCCATGCCATCATGACAAGAGCCCAAAGTGAGCTGGGACTGGCTCCAGAGCCAAGCTTGGACCTGCTGCATGTCTCAGGAGGGAGTAGGGTTTCATTGAGTGTCTTCTTCCTGACACTGCTTCTTTGTAGGATGTCACAGGGAAGTGCCTCAATTGCAAATTCATATCAATGAACACAAGCTGACAATCATCTCACTTTCAAAAGGGAGTCAGGGCTGGGCGTGGTGGCTCACACCTGTAATCCTAACACTTTGGGAGGCCGAGGCAGGTGAATCACCTGAGGTTGGGAGTTGAAGACCAACCTGGCCAATGGTTTCAGTAGAGACGGTGAAATCCCATCTCTATTAAAAATACAAAAATTAGCTGGGCGTGGTGGCGGGTGCCTATAGTCCCAGCAACTTGGGAGGCTGAAACATGAGAATCGCTTGAACCCGGGAGGCGGAGGTTGCAGTGAGCTGAGATCATGCCACTGCGTTCCAGCCTTGGCCACAGAGCGAGAGTCTGTCTCAAAAGAATAAATCAAGAAAAGTAAGAGGCAGAACACTTTTTCAAACTTCAAATTGTCACGATTTCTCACTGTGAGTGGCATAATTATGTGAGAATAAAGATACACCTCACGATTCTTTGCCCACTACATCCGGAGTTCAAGCCTTACCGTAATCGTCTCTTAAGCAGCTTTTCCGCCTCTCCCCAGTCCCTCCTATCCTCTACCCTGCCTCCTGAGTGCCCTCAGAAATGAAACATGAGCATCTGATCATGTTAGTAAGTTGCCTGTATCTCCTAGCGACTTCCCAGGCTCACAAAGCACCCCCAGCCTCAACCCTTTTCATAGCCCTAACCCTGCCTTTTGGCTCCTGCCATTTTCAAATATGGCACTGTTCCCCATCTCGGCACTTTCATTCCTGCTCTGTTTCTGCTTGGAATGTTCTCTTATCATTCACCCCACCACGACGTCACCAAGTCCATGTCCTGATCATTCACCCGCATTGAGGCCCCGGCCATAGCAGCACTTTCCCCAGGAAGCCTCTGTGATCATATTCGTGAGCCACTCGCTACCCCATGCTCTATACTTCTACCACGGCACCGGGCAAAGGCTTATTAGACAAGGTTGTTCTACTAGTTTCTTCTGCTGGTCTGTAAGACTCTTTAATCAAAGCCCTGGGTCTTATCTCAAAGCCTAACATGACATCCTGCATTAGAGATTGTGCATCCCTAACCTGAAATGCTCCGAAATCCATAACCTTTTGAGTGTCAACAATGACACTACTCATGTGCACAAACTTTGTTTCATGCACAAAATTATTTAAAATATTGTATAAAGTTGCCTTCAGGCCATGTGCATAAAGTGTATCTGAAACATAAATGAATTTTGTGTTTAGAGTTGGGTCCCATCCCCAAAAGGATCTCATTTTGTATGTGCAAATATTCTTAAATCTGAAAAAATCTGAAACTCAAAACACTTTTGTTCCCAAGTATCTCAGATAAGGGATACTCAACCTGTAGTAGGCATTTAATATGCACTAAAGGAGGAGGAAAAGAAGGTGAGAGGGAAGGAAAGGAGAGAGGGAGGGAAGGAGCAGGAATTTTCAGGACCTAGCACTTGTCCTGAAAGATCTGAGACAACTGTAGGCCGCCCAGGGAGACAGCTGAGCTTTGACTTCAGTCCTTCCCCCTCCTGGTGGGCAGTCCGCCCTTGCCCCATTCTAGACTCATTCCCGGCTCCTAGTGGCTTCTGTTCCCACCAGGAAACAGTGATCCCCTGTTCCCTGGCCTTTCTTTTGGAAGAAGAGCCTCTAATCAGCAAATTCACACAAGAGAATCTTCTCTGCTCATGCCTGCCTCTCAAAGGCAACTGCAATTACAAAGAGAACCCTGGAAAAGGAAGCACTTTGTTCCAAATAAATGAACTGGTACTCAAAGGAGACAAGAGATGGTTCATGGTAGGAAAGAAGGACCTACCTGGCAGAAGCCTGCTCCCATTACAAATCGCGCTGACCTGACCGTGTAATCTCTGTGTCAGAGTGGATGAAAGAGGAACCCTGAAGGGTGGAAGTCCCAGTCCCAAGTCCACTTCGGTGTCTTGTCCCTACGTGCTCTGCCTTCCCTCTATTCTGCATTCTCATCATGTCACGCCCTGACCCCCAGCATGCACAGGCTCTCTCACCCTGGGTAAAAAGTTCCGTTTACCCAAGGGCCACAGGGGAGTATATGTCCTGCTCTTCCACACCACGACCCAAAGGATAATAGGACTGGTCTATTTAGGGCTAGTTAGAGCAGAACTCCAGAGGCATTGATTCATCTTATTACCTTGGACTGAATGCTGGATGTCCTCATATGGACAGTTCAGAAAAGAGAGCAACTGGACACTGCAGGCCTCAGGCCACCCAGCCTTTTCAGAAAGGCACACCTCCATCACACCATCCCGCCTCAGTCATACTTCACACGTGATTTTTCTAGTTTCTCAGCTGACACCTCTTTCCCATTAAAAAAAAATCCCCAAGTGCCTGGTGGTTGGATGGGTAAGTGAAGCTCAATATCTGTGATATCAGCTCACAGCTTCTTCCTTACAGGCTCTGTCATCCTTCTCAGAGGCCAGGACTACTAGGAGTTAAAAACAAACGCATTCACACAGCCCGTGGGTGTGACCGGGAGCGAGAAAGAAACTCTTTGGGGATTTTCTGCAGAATGCAACTAGTTAGACAATTAGGCTCAGCAGAGCATCACAAAGAACTGAAAGGGAGGAAGAGAGGTGCCTGGGCTCCTAAGAGCCCCCATAAGGGATTAAGCTACCCTGGCTGCTACTGACCCGAAACAAATCACAGCATCTCTCCCACGGCCACTTGAAGCTAAGAGTCTACCTTTAAAGCCCCTTTGCTGTGCACGAGAAAGCCCAGGAAGCCTAGATGAGGAGGAGCCGCCTTCAGATCACACCGACAGCCACAGTGGCACCCCCGAGACCCATTAGTGGGATGAATGTAGCCAGCCTCTTGGGAGGACCAGTTTTCATCTTATGGATGTAGTAGCCTTCCTGGGGTCCTGCCCTACCAGCTCTGTCTCTGGTAGAGGTGGAAAGAGGAGATCCTGACATCTATTGTCCAGACAGCTGGAGTCAATTTCTAATGCATTCAGTGCAGAGTCTTGGGAAGATACTTCATCTTTTGGACTTCTGTTAAATGCACCTTGGAAAATCATGATGCTGAATGTGATCTTAGGGCATGAGTTGTATAATGCCCTTATTTTACAGATGGAGAGAGGCAAAGATTATCCAAGTGACTTGTCCAAGATAACACGATTAACAGCAGCAAGCCCAAATACAGAACCTAAGCCCTC